ATGCGGGGCTCGATCCCAGGACCCTGGGACCACGACCTGAGCCAAAGGCAGAGGCTTTAGCCCGCTGAGCCACCCAGGCGCCCTTGAGAGCATTATCTCTCCTCCCCTTCCCCGCAATGGAGATCATACATAGCTTTAACTGGGGTCCGTCACTTTTTTTTATCTTCTCTTTCACTCAAGTACTTATATTTATTGAGTACCTTCCATATATCAGGTGTCATGGTCCCTGACCTTAGGGCGCTCGCACTCTAATGGTGACACAGACCAGTGAAGGTAAGAAGACAAAAAAACTGAGATACCCCAAATCAGGTGCTGAACTTTGCTGGGGACACACAAAATCGGGGCACTTAATCCAGTCTTGCAGGGGCAGGGGGAAGCTGTCGGGAAAGGCTTCTGGAAGAAGTAACATCTAAGTGGAAAAGTGAAGGGCAGCTGGGGATTATCCAGGCAAACCAGCAGGGAGGTTGTGGAAGGCAAAGCTGGCTTGTTGTCTAAATGGTCAGATCACATGAGGCCTTCAATATATTAGCAGTGAAAGAAGAAAGGGTCGTAACATTTCAGAATGTCTTTTCATTTAAGGTACTCCGCTGAATTCCCTCCACTTACTGGTCAGATGTTCAACCTAGCTTCCTAACAACTATCATAAAATTGAACTTTGGTTCAGCTCCCTGCAGCGAGAACAGTGACTGGCGATTTTCCGGATCATGCACGCTGGTCTGGAATGCATTTATACAAATAAGTGACACAGCCCGAGGCTCTAGCAAGCTGACAGGCCACCAAATAACAGTTGTCCCTGAAGTCCTTTCCATCTTTAGCTCTATCATCCCAAGAGGGCCTCAAGGGGCAGGGAGCTTCTGCTGGTCCCCTTTTTGTGAGTGGTTCCCAGTCACAGGAGGCTAAAGTAAAGGGGCCAGGTGGGAGGTCTGGGGGCAGGGGCCCCTCTCACACAATCTTCCAGCTCTCAGGAGAGAGCCAGGCTGGGGTCAGGGCCGGGCACACCCACGGAGAAGGGGCTGGGGCTGGTGCTGGAAGAGGACGAGGAAGGGCGGGGACAGGAAGTGGTACACTTGGGTTCTGGAGGCCCACCAAGAAAGGAAAACCATTTTCAACAGGTCCATCTTTCCATGTTGCCAGCTACCCACCCCACCCCTGCCCTCTCCCATGTTCCATTAGGAAGTGGGAAGTATATATCCCCCGACTGGCCCAGGGTTCCCACACTATGCACACTTCCTGTACAGGCGAGCTCCTGGATCGGGCTGTGCTGACTCACAGCCGACAATAAACCAGGTCTCTAGGCACCGTGGGCTGACTCGGGATGTTTACAGAATTGTTCCCGTCAGAGACATTGAATTCTTCTCAGCAAGCCCCTTCTCCATCTCTCCCCAACCAGCTGCTCTTTGCTTGGTGGGACGCACCCTTCTCTTCCTCCTGGAACACACATTCCAGGAGTACCTGCTCTGGGACCAGGCAAGGCCTGCCCCAGGTTCTGCTCTTTTCCCTGGGCCAGGGAAAAGATCAGAGTGGGAATGGGAGAAATGATCCTCATTTCGCTCAGTGTGGGAGAAACAATCCACTTAAGGGGGCCCTCCCACAGGCCGGGCACTGCGCTTAGCTCATTTAGTCCTTACAACTGCCCTATGAAGACCCTATGAAGAAGAGACCACTTTTACTTCTACTTTGCATGTAGAAAACTGTGGCTGGCTAGCCTGATTATTCAACACTATCCCACAGTTAGATCCCGCTTTCCCACGGAATGCGATCTTGGTGTCTACAGGCCTCAAATAAATAATTGTTGAGTGACTAAATGAAACTTTAAAGTTTCAGGTCTGGGACCAAGCATAGTGTACTGGGGGTATTATACACAGTAAACAACAAATGAGGCGTCTTCAAGAATTCCATCTGATACTGAAGGCATTCTAGAATGTTCTCAGTTCCAGAAGTAGCTCTGGAATCATGATCTAACTGCCAAGTTTATCCTCATCCCCATCCCTAACTTTTTAGCACTCAAAACACCCTAAAGCCACTTTGGTCCTTGAAATCATTGTAGCTGACCCAGAGAGAAGATGGGACAGTCACCTAAAACCCTGGGTTGTCCATTCAAGGACCCTGTCCCTGCTGGGGTCCCAGCGCTGGGCCTGCATACATCTCCTCAGGACCCAAATGCATTTGTTCGTCAGCGAACAAAAGCCCTGTGCTCCCACACGAACACGAGACAGGACGAAGACCTGACAGAGCTGGGCGCCAGCAGTGCGCCAGGGGTTATGGAGACAAAGTGCAGCTCACACAAAACCAAACCACACGGAGCCAAACTGAAGCCTGCTGTTCTCAGCTGTGTTAGAACAAACGGAGGAAAGTCTCCAAGGCGTGAATGGATGAGAGGAAGGCTTTCCTTCTCATGGGGCTTTGGCACTGGGCCAGGAGGCAGCCAAAGGGGGAGTGACTTCTGAATCCCCTCAAGAGGCCAGTGCGGATTGTCCTTTACCTCCAAGTGTCCCCAGCCTGGCACTTTAATCAGTGGCCCCTCCGTTCCCTCCTGGGTACTATTTCTGCCCCCAAGGCAAGCGAAGGGCTCTCATTGGCATCCATGGGGCCACGGAAGACGGGCCACGGGTGAGACGTCCAGCCCACCCTGCCAACTGAGATGCCAAGGCACCCGCGGTCATGCTGCAGGCCTACCTGGCTCCCCGCACTCCGAGCAGCCCTCCTCTCGGCCTGCTCGCCACCTCTATGCAGCTCTGTCTGCTCAGCCTCCCTTCCCGGAAAAGGGCTACCCGGGGGCTTGCCGGGCTGGCTCTCCTCGGGCGCACGGAGGTCCGAGAGTCTCTGGTCCGCGCTCAGGCACCTGACCACGTCTGAAGGTCTCAAGCAGCTCTTCTTAGAGATCCTGGGTGCTCCGGGGTATCTCTCACCTGCCTCCCGCTCTGCTCTCCTCTCACACTGTCCGCGCTCTTCTCGCCTCGGCTGCCGCTTACCCTGGCTGCTAAAGGCGTTGCTGAGCTCCGAGATGACCCTATCAGAGCTCCCTGGCAGCATCTGCGGGAAGCTATCCTGGTGGACACCTGGGGGTGGCACGTGGACACCACTGTCCCCATTGACGTGAAGGAAGGTGGGGGCTCCGGGTGCCAAGGAGGCAGCTTTGTGGGAGGGAGGACGGGCCAGCGGGGAAGCCAGTGAGCGTGGGGCGGATCGATCGGACCAGCTCGAATGGGGAAGGCTGAGAGAGAGAGAAGAACCCGGTCTCGCCCACGAGGAGAGGGGGTCCATGTTATAGACAGAAGTTTCTGGAAGAGGAGGCAGGGGTGGGGTCAGGGCCAGAGGCCGCCTGCCTGGGACCCCAACAGTCAGGGAGATCCACTCAGAGGTGACAGCGTGCATCTCAGGGGACAGGGCTCGGTGGGGGTGGGGCAGGGATGAGGGGGCCGGCACGATGAGCTTGCTGTGACTGGCAAACTTAAAAAGAAAAGGAGAGAGAGGAAAACAAAGGAAAGAAGCAAAAAGGTACAAAAGTCAGCATAAAGAAGAGAGGAGGAAAATAATCACAAGGGATATACAAAGAGGAATGAAATGCAGAGGACGAGGACACTCTGGTGTCCAAACAATGAAATCGTTCAGTTAGGTTGGAGAGAAAGTGGGATGTGGCTGTGTGCACGTGTGTGCACAGTGTGTGCAGGTAGAGGAAGGGGGGAAAGCGAGGGGTATGGAGACGGGAGAAAGGGGTCCATCGGGGTGGTTACAGACGGCCCTGGTGCGGTCTGTGGAATCGGACTTTCAGAGGGACACACTGTAAGCTGCTCACCCCACCACACCCCACCCCACCCCTGCTGCCACTGAAGAGCCTTGACCCACACCACGAAGGGAAAAAGGTGCCCTGCCACAGTCCTGCCCCTTCTTTGGGCTTTTATTCTATCTATAGTTCCCAGCCAAGAGCCTTCCAGAGATGGATATGAGCAATGGAGACATTTTGTTTTATAGCTGTGCTTGGCTACAGTGAAGTGAAAAATCTCGCTGAGTTCCTCTAATTACTACAAAGCAGAATGGCCTGCACTGACTCCATGCCCCCTCCCCATGAGATCACAGGAGATGGAGCTCACTGTGCAGGAAGCCCTGGGTCAGCCTGTCTAATGCCTTCTGCCAAGAACCATCCCTGGGGTCGGGGTGGGCAGGTGGAAGGAAGTAAGGAGAGGATGATGGAAAAGAGGCACCATCCAAGTGTCATCCTAGGTCCAGGTCCGGGTCCCGCTCTCACACTGCTGGCCATTCTCCCTACACCTTACCATGGGGGTACGGTCAGTGGCCTTCACAGGAAGTCACCCCACCATGCCTCTTCTGAACCCAAGGTCCTAATTCTTTCTTGGCTTTGGGGAAGTGGGGATGGGTTGGGAATAATTTATATATTTTATAAAACAAGTCCATTTATAATAAACGTTTAGGAATGCAAACATCTTACTATGCCTGTAAAACTACTTCCTTTTGGCCCAGCGTAAACAGGGACGCTGTCTGTTCCTTTCCCAGCCTAGTTCCTGCTTGCAAACAATACTCGGGATCTGGTCTATCTGTCTGAGGATGAGAGTGCAAGATTCTCTCTTTCAATCTTTGCCTTCTGCAGGCGGGCCTTGACCAGTAAGATGCTGAAGAGAACCCGCCTGGGTCACGGTATGTATTGGACAGCAGCGGTCCCCAGACAACCAGCTTCACGCAGGGTAGGATGCTCCTAGTTCCGGACCAACTGCTAAAGTCTCTCATTTCTCTGGCCCTAACCATGTTATCCCCAGAGCCGCCACCTTAAGCTCTTCTTTTCCCCAACATAATAGTTGTCCCTCCAAGTTCTCGAAACATGTCATTTGTACCCATGAAAACAAACCCTTGTGTGTACTCTCTGCATGACTGCAGGGAGTTCCTAATCACAGTGCTGCAGAGCCACCCCAGAGGGCCTGCGTGCCCTCAGCACCATGGACGGGTCGGTGAGGAGTGTGAAGACCAAGGACAAGAAGTCTAGGTACCTGTGGGCTCGCGGTGCCACTGCGACTTGGGGAGGAGGAGAAAGGCAGGTCGATGTAATCCACGGGGTTTTTCACCAGGGGCCGCTTGATCACGTCCACGTAGGTGATGGGGAAGATGCCCTGCCGGGACGTCCCTGGGATCCTCCCTTCGTACCAGTTCTCGTCCACCTGTCGGAGCAGCGTGATCCTCTCACCCTGCAAGACACGGCAAGGACCTTGGGCCACCACGCCTTGGCAGGTCTGAGGCCCCTGCCTGCCCCCTGTGCCATCCCTCACTGTTCATCACATCCTTTGTTCAGAAAAGCCTTCCTGGCTAGACTAGGATAAAACCAGTATCGCAGAGATGAGTTGCTGACAGCAGGAGAGCTACCTGGAGGCTGGGAAGTCAAGCTTAGTTTTCAAATACTGCAGCAAAGGAAAAGGTCAGAGTCATCCCCCCAGCTAACAGCCAGATGGAGGGGTTTTGCCTCATTTATCACAAAATCGATATCCAATTGTCTCCAAAAGCAAAGGTTTGGGAGGGTTATCTTTTTTCCTTCCCTTTTAGAACTTTGTTTTTCCCTGTACCATTATAGAAAAGTAAAAAAAAAAAAAAATACATTAAGCGGAAAATAAGTATTACTCAGAAGATTATCACTTGGGTAACCACAGTTAATATTTTGATACATGTATTTCCCAGATTTAATTCTGTGCATGTGAATTAGACTTGCAACATATTTTTCTTATGAAAATTGAGCAAGCACTATATTTCACTTTCCAGCCTTCTTTTTCATCCTTTACGACACAGAGTTGAACCTCCTTCTTTATCAAGAAATAGAATTCTATGGTTTTAATGCTATGGTAGCAATAGCGGAAGAGCCCACCGCAGGCTGTTCTGTGACACACACATGTAATGACTTAATTACTGGTCTCCCAATACTGGGCATGGAGGGGCTTATCTTTCCCATAAGGTGGTTCATCTTTTTCTAAGGCACATGTCCACTTCCCTAAATCCTTACTAAAATTAGTAACTAATAACTTCAGCAAGCCAGAGTTTTGACATGGGAAGACAGTGTTTGCTCGCTGGGAAGAAAGGCATCACTGTGCAGCTCACTCAGGCGAGCACGCCCAGTCCTTGAGGGCACCAACCAGATGCCATGCTTTATGCTGAGGGCCTCACGGAGGTGGTTTCCTTGAATCCTCTTAAAACAGCTCTAGGATAGGGTCATTTGTCTTCATTTCACCTGTGAGCAAAGAGCAGCTTGGAAAAAGTCTTTAACTTCCCAGAGGCGAGGCTGACTTTTGGCTTCAGAGGACTTGTTCCTCTCCACTGTGCCATAGGAATATGTCGTAAACCTAGTCACGACGACTTTCCACATCATGGAGTGCTCAATAAATGCTGGCTGAAGAGGTCTAAGACTCCAGAAACACCGCCTTTAATCAGTGAACTCATGTGACTAAGCTCTGAGAAAGCCTAGGGTTTATTTTTTAAATCCCTCACCTCAGAAAATTCTCCACCTGCCCTTCAAGCAGTCCTACGTGGGGCACAGCTCTCGGGCACAGGGACGGTACCATGAGACGAGTAGATTGCCGTCGTGCCCCTTCCCCCACGAGAATAGGGCCATCCAAACAGAGCCCCAGGTCCGAGAAGAGAGGGTACTTACCTTCCTGAAGGACATTTCTACTTGTGTATCACCATTGAAGTTGAACTTGGCAACAGCTTCTCCGTATTCCAAAACCTGCACCGGTGCCAACTTCTTGGGCTGAGCCTTCTCAGCAGGAGGAAGAAGCTGAGAAGGGAAAAGAGGCAGAGGAGAAGGAAAAGAGTAGAAAGCGAGGGGAGTGAGAGGAAGGGAGGAAACAAAAAAATACAAGTTCTTGGTAAGTGCGTGGTGCTGGGGGCAGGACCGGGCTGTCCTGGGGAAAGAGAAGGGGTGACCGTACCTCGATGTAGGAGCGCGGGAAGATGCCCACCCGGCCGTGGTGCTCTCCTTCGTACCAGTTCTGGTCGATCTGCTTGTAGATGTACACGATGTCCCCCTTCTGCAGAGGAAGCTCCCTGTCAGCAGAGGTCAGAGCACGTCAGCAGACGGTTCCAAATGCATGAGATGAGGACACTCCATATTTTAGCAAAAGGAAACTCTGACTGAGGTCAAAGGGGACAAATTACAGAAGAGGGGGCTCCATATTCGGGAGGGAGAACCCTGCTCTTTAGGAGGTTATATCTCTTTGGGCCACTTTTCAGTCTTCTGTGGGATGGATGTTGACTTTCCAACCGGCTCCCCACTCCAAAGTGCTCACAGGCCTTATGGTTGTGGGTTTTCTCAATGTATTTTTTGTGAATGCTGGTCTTACGTTCAGAATGTTTACGCAACACGGAACAATGCACCCAGCAGTCTCAACTGATGTCCAGTAAATGACAAAAGTCTCCCTGTAGATGCTTTCATTGTCTTTACTATCCTTCCATGCCCAAGCAAGGCATGCTTTCATTGCTGGAAATGACCATCAAATTACTTGTGAGAGACTGACATCCTCGTGTCGTTCCAGCCAGCCAGCCCAGCCAGCCAGCCACATCACCCTCCCCGCATCAGTCTATCATCATGCAGTAGAAAGGCTCTGAAATTAGCCAGATCCGGGTTTAAAACCCAGTTACACCATTTACTAGCTTGGAGACCCGGGGCAAGATACGGAATCTCTCAGAGATACTTTATCTGAAAATAGGAGCTAAGTCAGAGTTATTGGAAAAACGTAGCAACAAACTCAAAGTAAGAGGCCCAGCACAGTGCCTGTTACAGAGCTAGCTCGGGAAATGGGAAGTTGCTTCTTCCTTTTCGACATGGGAAAGAACCTTGGAAAGAAAAGTGGATTTTCCTTAAAATGTTCTTCATGTATTTGTGCAACTTTTCTATCTCCATCCATCCCTTTGCTGGCCTTAATAATGATGCTGTTAACCTCTAATCAGGGTTCCTTCTTAAAAAAAAAAAAATGAAAAAGATAAATTATAAGTAAAATAAAAACCCAAGATGAGGATAACAATTGTAACAATTATAGCTTGAAAAGTTTTTTGAGTTAAAAAAAAATGACCTAGATCTTTTCCATTTGCATCAAACCAACAGCAATGGAAAGAAAGGCTCTGACTGCAATTTGGAGGGGGCAGGCCTGTGTCCTCTGCTGTGTGCCAGGAAGTCCCACGGTTCTGTGAAGGATGCTGGCTAAACAATGGGGGCACATCTGGAAGACTTTACACAAAGTCAGCACTGTGCTGAGTGCAAGAACAAGGCAGCCTTTGTGGATCTTGCACTGGTAGACCAGATTCTAACCCTGAGGAGGCCCGTGAAGGGGATCTGGGACATTTGTCTCTGTAAGAGAGAATATTTGGGGCCAGTTTTTTGCTGTAGCTCTCCTTGGGCGTGTTTGAATTCCCTCCTCTCTTTACCCCCCAACCATGGACACATGGCTGTGCTGGACCCTCAGCATATCCACTCCTGCTGGAGACGCTCCCCGGTCTCCCGCCCTCAGTGACTCGCAGCTGTGGAGACAGGTGGGAGTGTCATGGCCCCGCATTAAGCAAGGAGGAGGACAGCTCATGGGGGGCTGAGAGGTCTGCAGTTAGCCTTCCTGCACTGTGGACCTCATGCCCATCTCCCGAAGAACCACACCGCAAGGTCTGGTGGTAACGAGGTTTTGAGAAGCAATAATACAATATACTTCATTCAGATCTTTTCTGGAGTGTCCCCATGAATATTCTCAGCACAGTAGAGGCTCGGATAAGTCCTGTGGATAAGAACCCTGTTCAACTTTGTTGACTTGAGTGCTCCTACAGAACACTTTTTTGAGTAACCTACTATGGAGAAAAGTAGAACCTGGTGATTAAAGACGTTTAGAAGACCCAAGTCAATGGATCTATCATTTACTCTTAAAAAAAAAAAAAAAAAGGTTTATTAACTTTTCTGGGATGGGGCAATAACAGCACCGAGCCAGGAGGAAGGACTCCTCTCTCCAATATTAGCACAATTTTAATTCTTTTTTTTTAGAGAGAGAGAGAGAGAGAGAGAGAGAGAGTGTGTGTGTGTGTGTGTGTGTGTGTGTGTGTGTGTGTGCAGGGTGGGGAGGGGCAGTGGGAGAGGGACAGAGAATCTTAAGCAGACTCCATGCCCAGTGCAGAGCCCAACATGGGGCTTGATCCCACAACCCTGAGATCATGACCAGAACTGAAATCAAGAATCAGATGCTTAACTGACTGAGCCACCCAGATGCCCCCAGCATTAGCATTATTGATAAATGGTGACAATTCCATCTCAGTCAGCCTTCCCTCTTCTATTGGACAAAGATGCTTTAAGGAAAAAATTGTTCAGACTTTTTAATGAAACCTACATAAATATGATTATCATCACAATACCATTCAATGACTACATGTACCTCTCTCATTCCAAAGGAAAAAGGGGAAAAGGTAATATTAATTTGTATAACTCTGTTATCTTCTCTTTGGTTAAAAAGAAGGGACGGGGGGTGCCTGGGTGGCTCAGTGGGTTAAGCCGCTGCCTTTGGCTTGGGTCATGATCTCAGGGTCCTGGGATTGAGCCCCACATCGGGCTCTCTGCTCAGCAGGGAGCCTGCTTCCTCCTCTCTCTCTGCCTGCCTCTCTGCCTGCTTGTGATCTCTCTCTGTCAAATAAATAAATAAAATCTTTGGAAAAAAAAAAAAAGAAGGGACGGGGGAGATGCTGACTTTTGTTACATGATGCGAAATGTTTTATAAGTATTACCTCAACTGCCCTGCAAGAGTGGCATTTTTTTTTTCCATTTTATTTTTTTAAAATACTTTATTTACTTATTTGAGAGAGAGAGAGACACACACACACAGGGAGAGAGGTAACACAAACAGGGAGAGTGGGAGAAGGAGAAGCAGGCTTCCTGCTGAGCAGGGAGCCTGATGTGGGGCTTGATCCCAGGACCCTCGGATCATGACCTGAGCTGAAGGCAGACGCTTAATGACTGAGCCACCCAGGCCCCACTATGTCCATTTTATAAATGAGGAAATTTGAGGTGGAGGTTGGTGACTTGCTCAGAGTCACAGATACAGCAAGGGGCACAGTCATGATGCAAACACAGGGCTTCCTGACTCTAGAGCCCATCTCTCCAGCACACTAGACTGCCACTTCTAGTTAGCTAATGAGCTAAAGGACTGGAGTAATTATAAACAAACCCAACACGCCAGATTTGTGCCTAGGTCTAGAGACCGTGGCCTGGTCACTCATTTTGTGTTGGAGGAGATCAAAATCCTGGCTGAGTCGTCTTCTCCATGGCGTTACTCAGCGTCCAGTGATGAAGAGCTTTCCCTCTCATCACCAAGAATGGAGATGTGGGGGGGCCTCCCATCAGCAAGACAATGGGATGACATGCTGGTTATTGCTGCCAATGGAAACTCATGGCCCATTTTAATCCATAATTAGATAGGAAATGAGTAGGTTCCTTGTAGAACCCAGTCTTTGGTAGCATTTTCCAAATTCCATTCCATGGAATAGAAAGGCTTCCTGGTCATCCAAATTTAGGTAACACTGGGTAAAATAAGCTAATCAGGTTTCTTCATTGAAAGCCTTCTAGAGCCATTACTATGCCAATAGCAAAGTCTCTCTGGGAAGAAGGAGGCACGGGAGGTATAGACATAGTGTGCAGTGGTTCCTAGACTCATTTCTAGGATAGAAGACAATTTTTAAGAAATATTTTACAGAGCTAGCCCTTTGGGGAACATACTGCTCTCCTGTGTGTTCCCATTATCTTTGAATGTCATCAGACGTCATAGCGAAACTAATAAAGTTATCATCCTAGACACTGGTTCTGGTTCCTCCCATAGAAAAAGTGGGTCAGATCGAGCCACCACTTCATCAAGCAAACGGAGTCCCTGGATAAGAGGTGGCAGGTGCCCCAGTGGTAGAAGCTCAGGCTCTGGCACCAGGCTGCCCAGGTTTGAATCCCCTGCCTCTGTCACTGACCAGCTTCGGGAAGCTCCTTGACCTCATAGCCTCTCTGTCTCTCCATCAGTGTAATGGGGATAACAACGGCGCCAGCCCCAGAGGGTTCTGGTAACCACTGAATCAGTTACCATATGTAAGAAACGTGAATGGCGCTTGGCACGTAGGAAACTCTATAAATTACTGTTTTTAATCATCGTTGTTTTCCTCCATCTCTTTACAAGTGAGCTGTGTTTCAACAGAGGCAGTCATAAAAACAAATTGGTGGTACTTACTTGAGGGTCTGAGCTTTAAAGTCAAATTTGGCTCTGGCAGGTCTCATCTAAACACAAGAAACAGTGACAATTTAAAATCACAATTTATGTACAATGAAAAGGACACATTTTCAAAAGTTTCCAGAAAGCAAAGCAGAAAAAGTCACTCTAACTAGTTCATTCTGGTGTAGAAATCTGGGCAAAATTCCACTTATCTGACCTCAGCAGAACACTAGATGAATGTTTGATCAACTATGTCATGCATGAGAATCTCCCTAAGGAAGCCAGATTTGGGGAAGAGATGCTTTGAAAAGTCCCAAAGCTGCAGCACTATTTCCCCAAAGCTGACCATGGCTATTAAAAACAACACACACACACACCAGTCGGCCAGAAGTCCCAGACATTCCTACCCTTTGGGGGACATCTTCTATTCGCCTGACTTAAATTATGATTGGCAAGTGGACAAAACCCTCGTTCACCTCTCACATGACGTCATCTTTGACTCCACAGATTTCTCACGGCCTGTGAGATCATCCCAAAAACCAGACAAAGCGAGCCCTGAGTTCATGCTCTTTCTCCAAAGCTTCCCTTCCTTTTGGGTAGCCCTCTCCTTCCAGACCCCAGGCCTGGAAGTCCTCTGCACACTCCAGTTCCTCAGGTCTGTCACTCAGTCACACCAACCCTCCCTCCAGAACCTTCCACAAACGCACTCAGGTCTGACCTCTAGCTCCTACACTCACAAAGCTTCCTTTGACTATGTGTTCTCTTTACTTTCATCTACTGTCACTCAGGAGCACAAATAACATTCCTCAAATACTTCCGTCCATTACTTCCTTGCTTTGAAGTCGGCTGAAGCGCTCAAGTATCCCTCGGATCAAATCTGAATTCCTGATAAGGGTTAAGGGTTTTGGGTAATTTCTCCCCAATTTCACATACTTTCTCTTCAACATTCGAGGACAAAGTGGAGAGGAAAAATGTGAGACTCGGTGAGAAAAAAAAACTGGTATTTAAATGCTCTCTCAAGCTTAGTTTTAGGTCCTAAACCCATCAGTGATATGTCTCCTATTTGCAGGCTCCTCAAGCTGGGATCTTGTAGGGATTTTCTTAAGGATGGTGAATTTCCCACAGGAATTTCTTTTTGCATTTTCACGTTGATGTTTTGCCTCTATCTATCTGTTCACATATATATTAGAGGCCAACTGAATGTCTACTTTACAATCCATGCCACCCAATTTCAATGCCTGCATTTGAGTCTGTGACCAAAGAGCACAGTTTAGTAGTTGGAAGGGAATAAGAAAAGAACGGTTGTGGACTTAACGATAAATGACAAGTTCACAAGAGAAGGCCAGATAACCAACATTGTAAGATGAAAATTTCACAGTGATTCCAATTAAAAAAGGAAAAAAAAAAAAAAAGATGGTCATTACCCAAGGATAGCCAGCTGTAGAGCTATGGGAACTTTAACAAACGTATACCAAATAGCACCAGATTCACACTTTGAGTGGTAACTGAGTTTAGGCAGAGGGATATCATTAATTAAGTTTTACAAGTGTGTAATTAACTACTTAATCTGTAAATTGGCTTAGGCCAATACCGGGGATTGGTGAAAACAAATTTATTTCCACTAAACAGAAGCCATACGTTACTCAAAGTTTAGAAAAACACTGATTCCATGGGGCTGTTAAGACATATTAGGAGTCTTCATTGCCTATGCAAAGCAGCATCTCCCTCCTCACCTGCCTCTGCCTCCCTGAGGCCCCATCTGTCTACCCCTCCCCCAGCTCCCACAGGACTGTGTCACCTGTCATAGCAGAGACGACAGTCATGTTGGTCCCCCCCCCCCCACTAGACTCCAGCTGCCCAAGGGCACAGTCTGGGTCCTGTTTCCATTTCCATATGGGGCCTCGACCAGAGCTAGCGGTCACCCACATTCTCCTCAGTGGGGATGGAGTACATCTCCACAGCCCTGTGCACCTGGGACTTGTTGGTCTCTGTTCTCCCACGCCTGTCAGTCAACGTCTAGGGCAGTGATTCTCAAAGTGGGGTCTCTAAACAGGCATCATCAACGTTACCTGGGAACTGGTTAGAAAGGCCATCCTTGGGCCCCACCCCACAATTAGAACATCTGTGGGTGCAGCCCAGCAATCTGTATTTTAACAAGCCCCCGGGACATTGTGATGACCGCTTGAGTTCGAGAATCACTCTCTGGAAGGGATACAAGGTGGGTTAGGCAGTTTGCCTGCCTCTCTCCAAGGCTGTTCTGCCCCAGCTGCATTTCTGTGCACACGTATTACCCATCCATGTATCTATGTAGCCCTGCGCCTTGTGTGTTCCCCTCTTCCCCATCACTAGCAAGCGGGTAGGCCTGCGAATGAGGAGAATCCATCAACAGAGCCTTCAGAGTAGGGGGGTTCTGAGGAGCGGAAGGCTGAGGGCTGGGTCTGCCTTTCCCTTGTATCTGAGTCAGCACCTGCTAACTTCTGCCTCTTCTCATCACGTTTCCTTTCTCTTCATCACCTTAGAGTATCCTTCCCCGTCCCTGCTTTTCTTTCATTCTGGTTCTCTTTCCTCTCTTTGTCACAGAAAGCTTCCATTTCTTTAAAAACAAAACAAAAAACCATTTGATGAGAATAGCCAGTGCCTCTGTCACTCAAACATGGAAACATGAATATTAATCTGTTACACTGAAAGATTTATAAACCTGTCCATGCTTTCACGTCACTCCCCCAGCTTCCTCTGAAGCCTCAGACACACACACTTCCCCAAAAGGAGCTAATCTTTAGGGGACCCCGGGGGCCACACGGCAAAACACATTGTGAGGCAAACAGCAGCATCTGGCCGGGGTAAGAATTTCAACATGTCAGCCTTCGTGCAGGAGGCCAAGGCCTGGATAAAATCGCTTCAAAGATCTGTGCTTTCTTCCTGCCTTTTATAATATTAAGCTTTGTAATCTCAGCCAAGAAACGTCAAAATTAAGGGAACAAATGAAACGTCTCTCAGAGAGCTCTCTTACCCTCCGTGGGCTTATCCTAACCCCAAAACTCCTTGGGTTTCGAAAGTCTTCAGTGAGGCTCAGCACTGATAAACACCTTATTCAACTAATTCATCATTTGATACCGAGCGGCAATAATATTCTCTGATATTTGGGGACCTGGGTAAACAGCGTAAACGATGCATTGCTCGCTAACTTTTATAACAAGCTTCATGAAACCGCCTCTTCAAAGAAGAATCTTCTAATCGCTCGCACGACAGTTACTAACGCGCGCGGACTGAGGTGCAAGGCTTCTAGGCGGGTGCGCAGGCAGCACAGTGTCACCGTACAATGCAGGATGTTGGGGGGCTGGAGTCATGATGGCAGCCGATGCTCTAGGCATGCATGGGGTGGGGGGTACGCCAGCAGATCCCGGGCCCACAGCCAGGCATGCTTGAACATACAGAGCACAGGACATGATGGGACTCGCGTCCGTGACCAGCCACAGAGGAGCCGAAGCGAGCCTACGGAAGCCGGGGCGACAGATGCCATCTGGAGAACTAACTCGGCCTACGGAGGGCAGTGCTGAGGGGAGGCGCGGGCATTGCTTTGGGTCAAGCAGCAGACGGAGGCAACCAAAACAGACCTCTGACCCAGATTTCCTTTTGGCCGTATCGTCTATATTGAGGAGGTCCCCAAAGCGCTCATTAGTGATAAACTGATGGTGCGTCGGGATGACGCCCGTGTGGCGACGAGCTGCGATATCGGCCTCTTCTTGTTCACGCTTAAGTCGTCTCTGGTCCGCTAAAAGTTTCTGCCATGAAATTGCATAAAAGGGGCAGTAAATCATCCAGTGCAGGGTGTTGGAAAACTGCCAACGCAACAACTAAGAAGCAAGGGGCTGGGTAAATTGTGGGGACACGCAGGAGGGTTGGCGTGGGAGGGGCTTCACGGCCACAACTCCTGCGTCCCCCTGCAGTCGCACCCCACACGCTCTGCGGAGGAGGGAGACCACACCACACAGGAGACCCCAGGGGACCCCTGGGCCACGGGGGAAGGATGAATTCCAGACAGTTACACTGTCCAGAAAACTACCTCCTGGCTCAGCCAAGAGCCTCCTGATCCCAGTACATGGCCCCAAAATCCAGGGCCTCCGGGGGCAGGAGCCAGTGGGGGTTGGAGGCCATAATCTGGAGCATCTACAAGCCTGCTGGGCTGGACGTGGGGGGCTGGGAGAGCTCCCCTCACCTCACTTAGGCGGTGGGGATTTCCTAGTGTCTTCCCATAGTGGGACCAGGGATGGCTGATTCCTCCCACCCGGATCTGGGCTCTGACTATGCAGGAGCTATGGAACTAGGTCATTTTTTGTACTTCAGAGGTCTGTTACTCTGATACGCTCCAGAGCAGAGCCACCCATTTCAGAAACTATGCACCCCTTCTCCTAGGCTGGCCAACCCCTCCCCTGAGCACAATGTTTGGGGGCCTTGGCACATGCATCAAAAGCTACTTACTTGACTGACAGGCATCATCAATTACTTGCTTACTGTACCTTTTACACAACTATCTCATTAGGTGAAATGAGGCTGAGTATAAAGGATTGATGTAGAATAGAAATATAAAAGATGAGCTAGGAATAAAAACACCTCAGTTTAGAAGAATTATGCTCTCCTAAGTTAAGGAAATAGTCATCTACTTCTATTCTTAAAGACTTCTTTTTCTCCTTCTATTTTTAAAGGCTGTTTCAAATAATTAAACAATGTTGCATTTTACCAAATGTCCTTATGTCCTATTAAAGTGACCCTATGGAACAGAATTTTAATGTGCTTTCTTATTCTATACCGATCATTACATTCCTGGGGTTACCATTCCTTGTAGAAAAGCAGTAATGAGGACTGGTAATTCTTAGTGTTTTCAATAGGGCATTTGTCTTCTTCCAGCAATTTAATGCCTCACATGACACCCAGCCCCAAAGGATGGGGGGCCTGATTTTCCCATCTTTCACCAGGGACTTTGAATAATCAAGAAACCACTTCTCAAATGGCTGTGGATGTCAAGGGCTCAGGCAAGCTGTCATAAAGACTTACCTGAGGAAAGACATGAGATGGTGCTTCGCAAAGCCCAATACCGCTGAAAGGGCACTGGCCCAGGAATGTGGAGCCCTGGTTTCTAGCTATTTCTAGCTGACACCAGAGGGTGTAAGTTAATTTGCTGTGTCTCCGGCAAGTCACTACCCCCTGGAGTCCTTTCCTGGCTTACACAATGGGCTTGGCTACTCTACTAATGTCCCTTCCAGAACTGACATAGTCTCATTTTCTGAAATGCCATGATCATCAGTAATTCATAATTTTTGCAAAGAAAGCTGCAGGACTGACCCTCCATTAGCTGGAAGTGTGAGCTGTTTCTGTAGCAGTGGGGAGGGACTGCTGTTGGAGGCTCCCATAGCCCCCCGTGCTTGGGCCACTGTTACATCAGATCAGTGGAAGTGGACAGCGAAGGAAGTGGACCCAGTGCCTGGATCAGACCTCAGCAAACCCACCGTCCCCACAGTTTGACGACAGAAGCCAAATGCCATGAATAAAGACACAACATTTTTAAGGATCTGGGAGCCAGTGTTATTCAGGGAACAAGCTGCTCCCCTTCTGAATGTACCTTGTAATATAGCAACTGCTAAGCCAATAAGTAAAATCTGCCTCCCAGGGGGTAGGCAGGATTCTAGCACAGCGCCTTCCACACTGGATACTAGTGTTTGTACTAATAACATGAATGTCATCTTCCTCTACCTTACATAGGTGGGAACCTTGTATCCTAGGGACGGCAACTAGAAATGAAACGGTCTGTGGCCTGATGGACACTCACTGTGTTTGTCACCTGTTCTTACAAATAAGTCTGCACATCTCACGCTTCCTTCCTTCTTTACCCGGATAGATACAGTTTTAATGAATACTGTCTGTCTTATGCCTGCATGGGGGGCAGAGCTACGGTCTTTTCGTCTCAGCAGCCGTAACTATTATCATCCAGCCCCATTCAAGGTCAGCCTTACCCTAAATCCTTAAGGAAAATCCACCTCAACTTGGAAACCATTCAACAATACGGAACGTAGGAAAGGGGCTTCAGACTTTATGGGGAAAGGGACAGAGCTGCGTACACGTGGTCAAAACAACTGTTCTGCCTCCTAACTTGATATGGGAAAATGGTCACTGGAGCTGGTTTGATCTATAGGACCCTTCCTGCTAGGAATGCAAAGTCCAGAAAGCATGCCTCAAAACACCACTATATCACAACAGAAGCTGGTGATTTTGCCCCTTTAGCTGATAAGCACAATGGCCTCTTCTGAAATCCCAAGAGAACACACTCCTTCCCCAGGCATTCCATTGCCGTGTGGACATTTCAGCCATGGCTAGAAGAGGTGCGTTCCCTGAAGTTCTGGTGGGGGTTTCCCAGGATCTATGGGGGTAGCTCTTCTTCTGAGTTAAAGACAACTTTTTCAAATTGTTTTATAAAATGTATTACGGTGGTCATTATGTATTATTTTTTAGTTTCCTTTCTCCTGCTGCATACTCCCCAAAAGGAACTGTGCTTTGTGCCAACAGAGGGGTGGGCAAGACTCGGGAAATATGTGGGTGGGTTTCCCTAGAGAGTAAGAAGGCAGGGATGGGGAAGGGGTGAGCAAGTGGCACCAACTCTGGGTCCCCCTGCACGGAGCTGAAGGCATTGGCGAACCTCCCCTGCGGGGACACTAGTGGGACTTGGCACTTAGAACCTATTGCCTGTGGGGAAATCGGTCCTAGAGAGCTGATGCCACATAAAAAGCCATTTGTGAAGACACCAATCTTTGCTTCCCATTGCTAGGTCACGTCACCTCCCTGACCGATGTCTAGAATGTTGGCTTCCTTCATTTTTTTTAATCTGCCTACGAGCTAAGAGATTTTCAAGATGCCATTTACCTCTTTATCATCATGACGCCTCCGAATAAATTCTTCTGTGGATTCCAAATAATCAGCAGGTATAAAATGCCTTGGTGACTCCGAATCTTCAAAACAACAAAGCAGAATTAAAACACGCCAGGATTTAGCAGGAAACCAGATTGGGATTAAGATTTCACCCTTCAGCCATTATCCTTACATTCATAGTTGTGGATTATAGACCAACACTCAAATTCTGAAGAAGAACCAAATCCCCCCCCACCAACACCTTTTTGGATTTACTTGTAAGCCAGTTGAATACAAAGAAAACTAATCAGAAGGCAACAGGTGAGCGGAGAGAGGACCTTCTGTGAAAAGTGTCCCTCCTAAGAGGCGTGCAGGATCTCACAGGGACACACCGTACATCACACACACACAGGGCCACTGGGAGAGGCTGCCTCTCAAAAAACCACGGGGTGACTGAGGATTGGCGTGAACTCCAAGGGGTTCGAGAGTTCACATGGACGAATTTCTCAGCTGAGCTAAACGGCCAATTTTTCTTTCGAAACAGAGTTTGGTGGTTAGTCTAAATGACATGGGGGGCTTTGTTTTTAAAGAAGTGCAGCCACTACGAGCCATGATTAATTGCCAAGCAAAACAAACAGAAAACAAAGGACAGACCAGAAAATGAGCACCAAGGGCACACGGGAAGAGGGGACAGAGCAAGCAAGGTGGAAAGACGGGTGAGGTGAGACCGGGCAAATACACAAATGCCACCTCCGAGGGATGTTCCCAGTTCACTGTGTGGGTTGTTGTTCCTGTCCAGGCCGGGGTCTGAGTACGGCACGGAGTTGCCATTATGAAAGGCCCTCAGGCAGTCATCTGGGACTGCGGGTCTCCCCTGAGGGGGCTCCGAGATCCGGCCCAGCCTCGCCATGGTGTGTCGGGAAGACAGGCGTTTGGGAACTGAGGGCTTCCCCCCGGAGGGGGTCTCGTCCTGCTGGGGCTGGCTGGGGAGGTCTGGCTTCTGGCCGGCCTGAGGAGCTGAGAAGTCACCAGGGGAAGGCTGCCTAGGGTGGGACTGGAGGGGCTTTTTCAATCGGAAAGGGAGGGGGCTCATTAGGTAGATGTTCCTGAGGAGCGTGCTCCTGTCCCCTCTGAGATCTGGGCGCCAGTCGGACTGTCTGGACGTCTGCTGCTGCTCGTGCTTTCGGATGGTGGTGAAGCGGGTGTACGAGGCCGGGCAGGTGCCCTTGCACTTGGTGAGGCGGTGCTTGGGAAAGTCTCCGTGGACACTGCTGCTGCTGCCCTCTCTGCTGTCGCTGGAGATGTTTGAACAGTGGTCGAGCTCGTCGGAGCAGGCAGAGAGGGGCTCAGAAGGCGTAAGGCCCCTGAAGCCCAAGGGGGGCTCAACCATGTTGCTGCATGTTGGGGTGGCATAGAGCCCCCCCGGGTTCATCCCGTCCATCTCCCGGGGTCGCAGCTTGGTCGACTCCAGGAGGGATTCAGCCGAACGGGCTGAGGTCAGGCTACTCCGGGACAGCACAGGCGTGGGGGACTTGCTTAGCCTCCCGGACAGGTCCAGGGACGGCATGGACCTCGACCGCTGAATCAGCTGCTCAAATGCCGTGATGCGGGAGGAGACGGTGTGCTTGGGGATATGTTCCGAGCCCTCCTGGCTAGAGCCCAGCTCGCCCCTGGCCAACGCCAGGCTGCTCCTTTCGAAGTGGGAGGCAAGGTCTCGCACGCTTGAGGAGGAGATGGAGCCCAGGAAGAGACCGGCTCGGTTGATCTGGTGCATGTCCCGGTATAACATGGTGAACTGCATCCCAGCCTTTCTGGAGAGAGGGCAGGGCCTCCTGGTGCCGGTGCCGTATTCCTGGAGGCTCACGGTGCTGCTCGACTTGCTGTCCCAGTCCCGCCGGGAGCGCGTGAGCAGGTTCTCGATGCTCCCCCCGACTCGGAGGGGGAGACCTCTTTTGGAATCATTCAGAGACAGTGAAACACAAAGGTTCTCACAGCTCTGAGCCTTTTCTGCCGGCAATAAGACACTCTTCTGTTCCTGTAAAAGAGCACTGGGAGCGGAGAGCCTGGGTTTGAATTTGGAGGGAAGGATTTCCGAAATGCAGGCCTTTGCAGCGGACAGGGGTTTCTTGTGCTTACACATGGGGCCTAATGCATTGCTAGAGCTAACCGTTCGGCTAGGAACTGAAGATGAAGAAATCATGTGAGCATTCCCACCTTTACGATCCACTGGAAAGCATGCAGAATAAAATAAACAGACCCATTAGGTTAAAGCTGAAAGCTGCTTAAAAAAAAATGAAATAAAAATAAAAGGGAGAGGTTACATGCTCATTTGTCTTAAGGGTTTTTTGTTTTGTTTTGTTTTGTATTTTAATTTCCAGTTGATGTCTGGAAGCAAAAGAATCTGTGCTGCAAAGCAGGTGCAAAGATGCAACGAAAAATGGCCACCCTGCTGTGAGTTACGGACGGCTAAGGCTCAGCTACGTTCTAAGAAGAGGGAATCAGAACGAAAAAGAGAGAGAGATGCTTTAGGGAGAGCAAGGTCGGGGTTCAAAGGAAGGGAAACTAATACCAGAAAGAAAAATGGCCGGTGGAAAACTGGGGGAGGGGGCTCAGACGGCTCAGAGGCCTGGAGATGGACCTGCACAAGGCAAAGGATATCCCAGAAGCTGGAAGTCACCCGCTGCCGACACCCCGACACCGGGTCTGGATGGGCGAGAGGCATCTGGATGACCGTGTGGCCGGGCCAGAGCCCCGCAGGCTTCACCCAGTTACCTTTAGTGGAGGCTGAGCTGGAGGGTCGCTTGAGCCCGCTCAGGCCCTGGAGAGGGATGTCTCCACCTTCCAAGACGCTCTTGTAAATCTGCCTCTCAGTCTCCAAGCTAGCGAGATCCCCGGGAGCCCCATCTGATTCCTTCTTCACTGCGTGGAAGTTGGAAGAATAGATACTGAAGACAATGTGATGTTAAAAGAGGGAAGAGAGAACAAGAAAGAATGGGACTTAGAATGTTTGACATTTTTCTCGAAAGCACATTACCACCCAAGGACAAACAGCACCCTTTTTGGGATCCTAGTCAAGCGCTGTCCTTTCTAAAGGGTGTTCTTATTAATTGGAGTTCTTTGGACAAGACAAGCCCAAGGGTGGCCCCAAATGCTCAAGTATCTGCCCAAACAGCAAAAGTGCTGAGAAGACCACATTTGTGTTTTAAAAGAGGACCTCTGAGAAACTCTGCCTGGGGAGGTGGGTGGGGAGGAGGCTTGGGGAGGGTGGGGGGGGGTGCTGCTGGGGGCCCGGCGGGTACACATGAGATGGTACAGCCGAGGACATGAGGGGAGCCCCTGACAGGTCACCAGCCAGAGCTGGCGACTTCAAGGCCACCACCTGGATTATTTTTCTGGGTTATTCTTCACAAGCACTTTGGCTGACGGAGCACTGAAGTCAACCATTTTCCTGGGTCTCTGGGAAAATCAGCCCCTAAGTGAAAGTGGAACCTGGGATTCTATACGCCGTTACCATCCCCGCCACAGGTTACACCAGCTTCTTTCAAATTTGTCGTCAGAACCTTAAGACAGGAATTGGAGTATAAACTATGACTCCTTTACCTTTCATTTATTTTTATCTTATTGAAATTCTAGGTATTTTTGCAAGTTACCACAAATCCTTTCAGGAATGAGGTGGGGCGCAGAAAAAATTAAGAGCACTTACTCACTGAGCCCCTCCCTTCCCTAATCCCAGTTTTCTACGCCCTCACCCCGGGCTCACGGAGACACACACTCAGGTACGTGAATAACCGACCTCCTTCCCACAGAAGTACTCAGGCCTCTGCTCGGCTGCTTTTCAGTCCTACTGAATTTGGTTTACTGGTATCAATGCAGACTTTTTTTTTTTTTTTTTTTTTTTTTAGCTCTGGAGATGCAAACAGCTTGATAGAATTTCTCTACCCCAATATTTTATGATGTGTATTTTATCAAGTGTACAGAAAAACTTAAGTAATTATAACAGTGAACCCCCACATATTCTGGGCCCCCAGATTCAACACAGAACATGGGGCTGCCTTTGCAGCATGACTCATCTATCCATCTCTCTCCCTCTCCCCATCCTTCAACGATGGGATTATTCCCCCATTTCACACAGCCTCTCCGTCCCCACAGTCATAGACAATGGCAACAACAATTTTACACAACCAGCTGAGATATCCTATGTGGGAGGCTGGGCGATCCTTCTGCCTTTAATCCTCACAAACAATCCTACTTGCCCCATTTTTGGTCGAGGGAAGGAGGCACTGAGAGATCCAGACCCTTGATGAAGCAGGCACTGTCTGTGCAGTGGCAGAGCCCGGCCCTGCACGGCACCCTCGACTGAACATCTCCCCACAGATGAGGTGGCAGTGCCTTCCCAGAGCCCAGGCCTGCACACCGCAGGAGGCCTGAGGATGCTGGAGCTCCAAAGGTCACTGCCAGGTATCCCCTGCGGTGAACGTACCCCAGGGACAAGAGGCCCCAGAGCCCAGGAGTCAGGAATGGAGAGGAGGAGCCTGTGGTAGAACGGGCAGTGGGTCCACCCCAGGATAGGAACATTCCCCGAGTAACAGCACTGCTCCCTACCCCCTTCCCACATGCTGCCGCGGCCTCCCAGGGCTTTGCATGCTCTACTTCAGGGGACTGACTGCCTGGGGGCTCGGGGTTCCTCCAGGTCCCTTCTCCTCATTCTCTCTGGCTGATGTCAGGGGTCAAATGCTTTTCTCCTCTTCTCAGCCTAGACAGAAGAACATGACTGAAAACTTAAGGGGAAAGAAAACCTACTCTCAAAGCTGAGACCACAAAAGCGTGTGAATGAATGTGGAGTCCGCAGAGCAGCCTCCAGGGTGTGTCTCAGAGGGGAAAACCCTCTGGAAGAGGTGGCATGATGGGGCAAGACTCCTTTCCCCAGGCCGTGCCCTCATTTGCAGGGGCCCACCAGAGGGCCCACACGTACACCCAATAAATATTTGTTGAATGAATACGAGGTCACATTTTCTGAAAGTAAAATGGGCACACATGATCTGATTAAGGAAATGCTTTAATTCCTGAAATGTGTTTAGAAATTCTTCCACAAGAATTTCATCATATTCACTTAGGCTCCTCATGTCGATGACTCTAGAACCCTCAGAACAGTGGACACAGTGAGACTGCAGGGACTTAGCATGGCCCCGGCCTAGGCTGGCTGGCCTTACTGGGGCCCTGGCCCCTGCCCAGGGGTGTCCACTCCCACCCTGGGGACAGAGGCGAGGCTTTGCCAGGCTCAGAGGCCTCAGGACAACGGCTGCAACCTACACAGCTTTTGCTCTCCTGCTTCTACCTACAGGGGTGCTTGAAGATGTCCCCCCAACCATCTGATCGAAAAATGTATCAACTCCATCCAGAGGGCAGGAAGACCCTTAAAGGTGACTTGCAAGATTGTGGCACCATATGCCAACTTCCATCAATGTAAGAGCCTCTAAACTGACTAACTTCAAAGTTTTTAATTAAAAATAAAAATGCTCCTTATCTCAGTTTCTCTTTCAGAGCCTTCCCTTGCTTTGGTTCCATTTTCTGGATTTGTCGCTCAATTTAACTCCATTGCTCCTTTTTATACAATCTCAACCTCTAAAAGACCAACGTACAGGTAGCCTTGCCAACAGTTGTGGTGAGGGGACAGTCTCTTGGGCCCTGCTTGCCTTGGTTTGTGGTCACCAGACCTCCCTCAGCATGGGGGAGGGGCTGCCAGAGGCTTCTATCCTGCTGTCCTTTGAACTGCCTCAGCCTTGGTCAGAATGTCCACGCTGGTCTTCTCTGGTTCTGCCTAACTTCATTTGGTCCTGACTCTCGTGGTACCCATCTGCCAGACTTCACACCTCCCCTACCTTACCCCTTGTCAGAAATCCCCTCCTGCCCTCAGCCACTCCACTCTCTGGCTTTATTCCATCCCTTATCACCATTTCGTCCTGCTTCCCCACCAGAACGACAAACCAACAACTCAGGAAACCCCTTAGAATGGATTTGCTATAGCTAATTGTTTTCTTTCTGATACCGAAGCCAATATGCTTTTTCCAGATGGGCAACACTTCCCAACTGAGGCCCTCCTTGGTTAAAAACACATCTACAAATTCTGGAACAACGTTTTCAAATGTATCCTCGCCATCATATCTTCTAGCGTTGGAAAGACATACAACATTTGTCCTGTTGTACCAAAGGGAAACTGAGGGCCTGAGTGTTGAAGGCAAGTGCCAAAGGTCTCACAATTGCTGGGTCTCTGCTGTGCCCAAATAGATCAAATGAGATGAGAAAAGCAGCGGGGCTGATGAGAAAGGCCCAATCAGCATTGGCAGCTACCAATCCCATCACAGAACAGCCAAGTTCAGCTCTCAGCAGCCTGGGCGAGCCAGTTTCCACTTCAAAGACAGCAGGCCGGACAACTCATCCTCTGGCTAAGATGCAAAGGGGGCTGAGTTTCAAGGGGATTCAGCAAAAACATACTTGCTGGAGGAGTAAAGTGAGAGAATGGAGTGATTCTCTTAGGGCCAACAGTTTGCAACCCTGTGACCAGGTGGGCTTAGGGGGACTCCAGCCTGACTCCAACAAGCAACGAGCATCAGCTAAGGATAACTCACTCTGTTAGAAAACTTGGAAACAATCTGTTTCGCAGGTTCTTTCATCTGTAAAACCAACAGGCATGGTAAGACCGTCCAACAAATCCACCTTCAAATCTGTTATCATATGCGCCTTCCTCCTGAGCTCCAGAGCTGTACATTTAGCTGCCTTCTAGGCACCTCCCCGTGGTTATATTCCTCAGGTATCTTAAACCCCACATGCCCCAAACCAAACCCAGCTCTGTTCTTGTCTCCCATGGCCCAAGCCAGAAAGCCCACGGAATCAACCCCTTTCTCCCCGTCCTTGCTCCCCAAACCTAACCAGCCACCAAGTATGGCTTACTCCCTGTCCTGACACAGCGCACATCAGCCCCTTCCCTCGACCTCCCCGGCCACCACCCCACCACTGCTCACCTACGTCTCTGTAGTAAGCACACCCTCACTCCTGCCTCTTCAGCCCTGACTCCCTCCAGTCATCTCTGCAAATCACTGCCCATGATAATTTCTATAAAAGATCTCATGGGGTCATTCCACTGCTCATTTTAGTCACTCCAATATTTATTGAGCACCTATTAAGTGTGAATCACTCTCCTATGTAGAGCTTCAACAGGGAATACAACAGACAAAAAATTCCAGCCTCGTGGAATTTATTGTCCAAAACCATTTGTTGTTTTCAGCAAGGAAAAAAAAAAAAGTAACTGCTTTAAACTGTGGCTTTGGGGGAAAGGAGTCTAGGAAATCTGGGGAGGGCAGTTTCCTCTTTAGCCTTTGTACTGCAGGAAGAAAATGATCTTTTAGATTTATAATACGTGATTGTCGTTCCCTCTCTCCTGTGTCCTGTCATGGTGTTTACCACACTGGCTTCTATCTGTGATTTACAAGTATGTGTCCCCATTACACTCTGAGCCTCTTGAGGGCAGGCAGTTTACGTTACCAATCTTTGCACGCCTGGTGCCTACCACTGCTTTTCAATAAATAATAGAATAAATGATTCTGTAAAGTTGAATGTTTGCATGTAGATTTCTGAGAAATGAAAATCACATTTTCAAGGCTCAAGGTAGTCTCTAATGTTTCATTTAGTTCTTCAGGTAATGATTTGTGTTTTGATATTAGTTTAAGAGAAAGGGCTGGTTTTGGTTTTGGGGTTTTTTTGGTTTTTTTGGGGGGGAAAAAAGCTTGTTCTTGAGCACCACCTGCTGGCCAAATAGAGGAAAGCTCTTTGGTTAGGCAAAAAAAATATCTGAGTGGTAATCCATGCTGAAATGCCAACGATGAGAATGAGTAGTCTTCAGGACTGATTTAAGATCTGATAACTCTAGGGAAATAAAATACAATGCTTGTTATTGCAAGCATTAAAAAAATAATTTTTGAGAATAAGGACTGGTAGTTCTACTGGGATATTGGGGACTATGGGTAGATTTCTTCCTCTCTATACCCATATTCTTTTAACACAGTGATAATGTAATCATGCTAATTAATAAAATTCCAAAACTTTAATTCTGTCCAAGATATGAACACAACTTCTTCAGTGACCAGTTTTTTTTTTGTTTTGTTTTGTTTTTTGTTTTTAATCCCAATGTTTTTGAATGTGGGGCATCCTGTGCCTTCTCCTTCAATCCTTGGGGTAAGTCCAGTCTGGCCAATGTTTCTTTCAATACATCCTCCCCAACCATCCAGCAAGAGGGGCCAGATCCTGGCTGCAACTGCTACCCTCATTGCTGAGTGCACTGGATGCTAGTTAATTAAGGCTCACAAGCACATTCATTGATTCCGCAAACATTTGCTGTGCACCTCCCTGGGTGTCAGGCTTCCCACCAATTCTAAACAAGGAAAAAAACCTTACTTCCTCGTTTGAACAAAATGGAAGAAAACCCCGCCTGCCTTACTGAAAAATCCCCAAGTGGAAGACTAGCAGGAGGATAAAACTCATCTATTCCTGCCAAGTGGTTCATGAGAGCCAGGCTATGGCTGAAACACAGAGGTCTTTGGAGATTTCAATGACACAAATAAGAGCGCTTGATAAATTAACCCAGCAAATATCTTCAGGTCCACAAATACTTAGAATTTTCTGAAAGCAATTTGCTCTTTGAAGCAGTTCGCCTCAGGGCCTTCGATCCTGCTCACACAGTATTACACAGTTACTGACGTTGTTTTTTTCTTTTAAGCCCTCAAGACCAGTCAACTGTGGCATGTTTTCTGTGAATTTCCTGCCTCATTCTGAATCAGGATGGTGCAAATGAGAGCTTATCACTAACACCGTCCCCTGGCCTAGAACTTCATTGTTCCTCCTTCAGCTACGGCTTTATAAGGTGTCAGCTGGGGGAATCACAGGCATCACGCTGCCTTTATGTACCTGTTTCCTCACCTGTAAGATGGGGACCAAACACAATGCTCCATCCTGGAATGGTGAAAGGACTGAATGAGGGAACGTAGCTACGACGCCAACCACAGGGCCTGGCGCATCGTAAACGTCCAGTAAATCACTAGGATTATTTCATTCAAGACCTGCACTCCTAACTTTGACAGCCCGTGGTCACTGCTTTCTCTTCGGAATACATTTATGATTTTCTTATTTATTTATTAACTTATCATATTGACTAATTACACCCCGAGGGCCCAAACCGGGAATACTTTCAATCCTAGTGTTCTTCATTCACCACTTTGCCTTCTCATTTAGCAACATTTTTGGGGACGTGTGATTTGCTGCCCAAACTAGTAAGGGATGATACCTTGTGCCCCTATGATAATAGTAAGCATAGTGCCCCAGATCCAGTAAGAACCCACTAAGGGAACTGACTAAGGAATCCACTCAACCAGCAACCAGCAGCAGCCTTTCCTGTCCCATGCACTCTGGGGAGATGGGAAAAGGAAAGGGGGTTGAGGGGGGAGACCAGGCAGAGGGATTAACATTGGGCCATCCTGAAAACAGGACTATAGGAGCAGGGAGAGACCTGGAGCAATCAGTGGGCAGTCAGGACTGTCCAGGTGACAAACAGGTGGCCTCGGGGGACAAGGAGAGTTTGCAGGGAGCTGTGGCCTTTGTCTGCAGGTAGCCTAAGGGCATCTGCTGCACTTCACTTCTGAAAGCACATCTCTGGGGACCTAGAGGACCTGTGACTTATCATCCTTGCAGCTGAAGGCACAGTTCAACTAGCTCCTTACAGACAGTGAGCCTCCAAGCCCAGAGTGGAGGGAGACTGGGAAGGGGTCCAGATGCTAGATCTGAGCTTTGATGTTTGTCACACTGCTGGCCTGATGACTGACCCGAAAGCAGGCACAAGACTTAATGCCTGGATTTGTCCCAAGATGGACTGTCCTCTCAGGCAGGCAACTTCCCTTCTAGCTGCTTTCTAATATATCTTCTCAATTTCTTCTTATGCTGGGATAAATTGATCATAATCATTAACACACATATTTATAGAAAAAAAAAATGAGGGTGCCTGGGTGGCTCAGTGGGTTAAAGCCTCTGCCTTCGGCTCAGGTCATGATCCCAGGGTCATGGGATCGAGCCCCGCATCGGGATTTCTGCTCAGCAGGAAGCCTGCTTCCTCCTCTCTCTGCCTGCCTCTCTGCCTATTTGTGATCTCTCTCTGTCAAATAAATAAATAAAATATTTTTTAAAAAAGAAAAAGAAAAAAAATGAACAGAATGGATCTAGCTAGAGATTTGGTCACTGTGCTAAAAGAATTAAGATTTTTCCAATTTTCCACTGAAATATCCTAATCCCAGCCGACTTTCAAATGAAACTCCTCCTGCTGAACTCATTCTTTGGCAAGGTACATAGGACATTCCCAAAGGACCACAACATTTGCCAAAAATTCCATAAACTCAGCATTCCAGTCAAGCCAGGCTTCTATTTGAAGAGGTGAAAATTGCTTGTTGTGGGTTTACCCAATCCCAATGGAATAGGAAACGCTTGTGCCTTTCCTCCTCATTGTACTTCTAAGAATGAGATATTAAATTGGGTACAGGGAGGCTCAGGGCCTACTATATGAGCTCAGTGCTCGCTATGTACTGCGTAGGTAAGGGGCAGGGGACCGCATGGTGACGTTTCAGCTGGGATAATGGCTGCGTGGCAAAATACTGAGAAAAGTCATCTGGCGCAGGGCTTTGGATGGTCTGGAGAGGGGGAAAGAGGCTGGCGGTTACTCCGCGAAGTGAGTAGAGTGTGCACATATCACCCAGGCAGAATCCTGATTGCTACGAGGAAATAAATCCACACCTTTCAGCATCAGTCAAGTCAGCCCCCTCCTGGCCCCATCTTCCCCTGGGACAGGTACCGACCGAGGACCCAACCCCACCATCCCCCGACCTTTACACCCAGCGCAGCGTGTCTCAGTCACACATCCCATCTAAGAACCAGCCAACGAGGTGGGTTTGGACTCCCAACTCAAACTCACATTCTAAAGGTAAAGATGCCAACACACAGAAAAGCTTCTCAAAGGTAATAGGAATCATGGCAAAATGAATTTGGAGGAGGAGGAGAAAACAGAAGAAAAATAATTTGAAGATAATGATTAAACTGTTACTTATCACTGAAGCCACGAGATTGACACAAGTAAAACACACTCGGATCCAAAACACAAGCCTCTTTCCATCTCTGACATTAATACATCAGGCCACAGACGGGGTGGCAACTTACTATCCAGGAGCCTCCGCAGAAATATCCAGGCTGGGGCTGACTGCTGAGCTCTGTAAATGCCAAAAAAAGAAAGAAAAGAAAAGAATGTAGATCATTTATTTTGTATCAGATGTTCCTACTCAAGGGGGAAGAGAGCAGCCCCTTTCCTTTCCTGATGTAGCCAAGGACCTTTGGGAGATGGGCCCTTAGCTGGAAAGGGGTCTGTGCTGGAGGATTTCTGGGCCAGTGGGTGCTCTCTGGGTGCAGTGGAAGATGGCCCCTAGCTTAGACTTATCTTTCATATAAATATAGATCCATGAGTGGATAGCCCACCATCTGGCCAACATGCATTAGTGACATGAACGACACCGCCTTCAACAGCTCATCCCCAGTCCTTGGAGCCCCTGGCAAGCCCACCAGAGACTCCTTCATGCACCCCAGATGCCACATCAGGAGAGAGGGTCACCCGACACCTTAGGTACAGAAAATACAAAAATGCATTTGAAAAGACCACACTGTATTTAGATCATTTGTTCACCCCTGCAGATTTGGAATGCAGAAATGGGGAAATGCAGTTTCACAAAACCTATGAGTAGGGGAGCATTTTATAAAATGACAGGCAATTATGGAAAAGAAAGAAAACCACCAAGAGTTACATGCAGAGAAAAGACAACAGAATTAAGTAGTCTAAGGTTTCTGTTTTGTCTTGGAAGAAAAAAAAAAAAGGCGAAGGGCTCAATATATTTTTAAAAAAATAATGTGGTAGTTGAATCAATCAATGAATAAGTTAACTTTTAAAGATACTCTTATCACTAATAATAATCACTTCAAGGAAAAGTCGCTATGTGGAAGAGATACTGGGGGAAAGAGAGAAACAGCAGGAGAAAGAAAAGGAAGATTGTCCTAGAGGGAGGAAGGACGGGAGGGAAGCAATCTTTATTGGGGCTCACCCACCTGGTCCTCAACTTGCTGAACCACCTACCCTCAACCTGCTGGGTCCTCTCACTTTGGAGGGAGCCTCTGCCCCAGGATGAGGACTCTACCCTCCCCCGCTCCCAGTTACCTGCCATTATTCCTCAGAGAAGGCAGCCCCCTTGCCTGCACTGATGTCTCCTGCCCATCTCCTACCTTAGGGACCTGTCCTAGTCTGGGTCTTCATCTTGGAAAACTTTTGTGTGACCCTGCAGAGTCCTTTGGGAATACCCACCTCCCTCCCTTCCTTCCTTCCTTCCTTCCACAATTACATGTTTTCAACAGTGCTGTACCCCTAGGGAATCCCCAGATGCTTCCCCACTCTAGTTCCCGACAACTCCTCACCCAGCAACCTCGAAGGTTTTTAGAAACCTCCTGGTTATCAAACCCATTGACCTTTCCTTGGAGTCTACTTTTGGGGACCTCTCTGGAGCACAGGGTAGTTGTCATACTTTCTCTTCTTGTTCCACCACTCTGACCTGTTCACCCTACCTCCTACCTCTCTGACCTGTCCACCCTCTGATCCTCCCTTTCTTCTGCTCCATGTCATCCAATATCCCAGGGGGTAGTTGCTGCTCTCGTCCTTCCTGACCTTCAATCTTCCATCTGCTCCCAGGGCTTCAGCCATCTCTTCTCCACAAGTGACTCTAACTGACGTTGTAGGCCCCTTCCTCTCTTAGGAGACCTAGTCTTGTATTTCCAGCTGCCTACTGGAAATAGGTGATACCCAGCCAATACTTCAAGAATGAATCACCTAAAACTAACTCCATCTTACCTCTGCATGGATTTTCTCCCCATCTTTCTTACATGACAGACTGATGTCCCCAATTCTTCCAGCTTCCTGGCCTAAACCCTCAGCCTCTCTAGAGTGAGGACACCAACCTCCCTAAAACAACACTTGAATCACATCATTGGGCTGTGGACAAAATCATCTCTTAACTGTGTGTTCTGAACCTCTATAATCCAGGGTCAACCCTCTTTCCCACCTACCACCCCCAATTTTCTATTACAGCTGATTCTACTTTGCTCCTTGAATACATGCTAAACACGATCACTTCTCTGCTCTTTACGTGCCTCACATGGATGTCCCCATCTCTATCACTATTTCTACCACACTGCACTCATCCTTTAAGGTCCCGGCCAACCCCCTGAGAAATTGTCCCTATTTTTCCACAAGATCACTCTTCTGCCTGGCACTCAGAGCCCGTGCCATTCTTTAAGCTCTTTGCAGGCACTGCTGTGTACTGCTGCAGATCTTTTATTTAGGAGTGTGCCTAAATGGTCATGTTCCTGAAGGTAAAGTTCATTGGTTTTTTTTTGCGCCGATTTAGAGCCCCTCTCAGCGTATCCCATACCTATTAGCGACTAATGGGGAACATGTAATTGAACCAATGTGAAAATGACTCATTCATGCATCAGACCCTTCTTTGTGCCCACCTTGCCCTGTGCAGAAGTCCAGGTACTGGAAACTGTCTCTAACCTCAGGGAAGCCTCAGTGAGTTCAGTAATTCTCCAGCTGCCTTCCATCTTTGCATGTGTGATAGAGCTGCTCTTATTAGACTACTTTGAAAAGGAACCCCTGATTCATTTTGTGACCTATAATCCTAGTGCTCCTGTCCTGCTCTGGAACATGTTAGGACTTACCTGCAGTTAGTTCTCACTCTTGAACTTGCTCAGACCTTCTATCCCACAGGGGCTACAGCTGGTTCCAGTCTCCACCTTGGTTGAAGCTGAGCATCCCCTTTCCCTGCCCCATGACCTATCTGCCTTAACTGTGGGCACCGTAGCTCACCTTTGTGCCTCCCCCAAGTTCTGGAGAGGGGCCTGGATTCTCAAACTCCAACTTTCCTCATCTGCCTGCAGTTCCTAAGTGTCTGACTTTATCTCAGCCCACCCTGGCTGCTGCCATAACCCCCTGGGTTCTTCACTCCTTCCTTGGCTTGATGATCCAGCACCCAAGAGTTTTCAGAACCTGAGTCACTCATGCTGGCAGTCTGACCCTCCTTGTCTTGTTCTGTTTAAATAGAACACAATCTATAGTATTTTCCACTCCTCCTGCCACAGTCTGTGGACCTTCCTAGCCTCTTCAGCAGAGCCTGCCTGCCTTCTTTATTTTCTGTAAAGATACCGTTTCCTTCTAAGAGCCTTTTTTGTTTTGTCAGGGAGCCCTGGGGGCAGTTCTCCAAATACTTGGTATTTTTCTTCCCCTTGGGAACCTGTTTTCCTTGGATTCTATGACATAGTCCTCAATAAACCACATTTTGACATAGCCCCCTTTAAAAATGTCAATACAGGTTGAGTTTCAAATGCTTGTTTGTGGCCAGGCTGTCTGGTCTCTGGAGTGCGTTTTTTCACTGAGAACTTTCTGATCTTCCAAATGACAAATACAACTACTCTGCCAGTGCCATGCATAACAGGCACTCAAATCACCACCACTGTGTTTCTGAAGATGATCTCTGAGGTTGGTATCTCCCAGGGATTAAAAAAAAAAAAAAAAAAAAAAAGACAAGTGAATCTCCCCCAAAAATGGCTCCCAGAAAATTTGAAGAAGATATACGGGGGCAAAGGATGGAAAGTTATAAGGGTCACCTCCCGAGAGCAGAGAAAGAGAATGACAAGGGAGTGATGTCGTTTAAATCACCAGCCACCCTGAAAATATTTGAAAAACTCCCTTTAAGGAAGATGCCAAGCTCAAAAGAAATTCAAGCAAAAATTAGGTTGGTGGGGGGAGGGGAGAGGAATCGAAAACAGGAGTCTGAAAGCCATGCAGTTTCTAAATACCCAGCATAAGCATTCATTGCCTTGACTACATTGAAACCAGAGAGCAGAGAAGAAAACAAAACCGAGCTGGAAGAGGAACCGACAGCATGAAGAAAAACTAGGAAATACCTGGGACAGGTTTGCATTGGGTGCTTTATTAAGCATCTCCGTGTTTTCTAAATGTGCCTCTAACTCTGCTGGGCAGAGGTTGAGATCTTTTTCTAGATTAGTCTGGTTGAAGAGAGAAAAGATGGGAAAGAATGTTTTAGTTTAGAGGACAGGCAGAAAGAATGGAAGGTTAAGTTTGAAAAATGAATTTGTTTAGTGCTATGCTTTAATAAGGCAAAGATGGCATGACCGAACACAAGAGCTCACTAGAAATCATGTGAAGACGTGAAAACAGAGAATGCAACATTAGGCAGGGAAAATATAAATCCTCAAGTCATCAGAGCTTCAAAAGTCTATTCTACTTGCTAGAGAGAACTACAAATACCGCGGAAACCTACCTTTCGCGAGAGACCTATTTTTTCTCTTTTCAGAGTATAGTGACTGTGACAAATAGGATATGTCAGGAGAATAAGGCATTGCTTTAAAAACCTCTCAGCATTAGTAGTAGAAGTCATAGAGACTTTGTTAAATCGTTTTATCACCAAGCCAAAAGAAAAAAAAAGTTATCGAGTTAAAAAAAAATGATTTAAGAAAATAAAAGAAAAAAGAAAAAAAACCCACGACACACTCACACTAACCAGGCTAGAGAACACACACACAGTCCACGGAGGAGGCACAGCAGAATTACCTTTCTATCCTCTCTAGGAAGGATAGAGCAGTCTCCAGGAGTATAATCCCATATCTTTTTGGGAGGCTGACGGGAAGCAGAGGAGGAAATGAAGAAATGAGCATAAAGACATAAAGACAAACATGGAGACTGGCTCAAACAAAGAGGGGCACGCTAGGAGAACCGTATCAACACAGAAAAGTGAACTCAAAGTACAGGGGGTGGGCACTTGGCCTCCTGAGGAGGCTGCCCAGGGAGGGATTCTACAGAATTTAGGAGCTAGAAACATTAACTGGGAAGTTTCTATGTCTACATCTCAAGAGTAAGTCATTGTTGGATTCTAAACATTGAAAACATTAAAAAAAACAAAAACAAAAACAAAATCAGAAGCAAAAAAAGCGTTAACACCAATTTGAACAAAAATCAAAACTTGAAAATTTCTCATTGTTCTTTTTTTTAAAATCGAAGTATTGTTGATAGACATCCTCACTGTTGTTTTCAAACTAACCTTGACACCGAGAGTCTGCGTTTTTGAAGCAGTCTTTGAAGCAGTCTCCAAATTCATCATGTTTAATAAATGTGTGACTTTGGAGATTTGGCCAGGGGAGGGTAAACTGAACCAAATATGTTTTCTGTGGTTTGTGAAAATGAAATCCAGGTACAAAAGGGGTATTCAATAAATACACTAACTAGACAATTCCACTACGCAACACTTACAATCTCCTTTCGTGGCTTAACCAGACTTTGATAACACTGCTGGTGGTACAGCCATCCCTTCCATCTGCCTTAGAGAACAGTTTATAATTTGAATTTGAAAAGCGGACTGTAGGGTTATGTTTGTTCTCTCTTTTAACTCTTTAAGTTTGAATGAGAGCTGCGTTCCCAAAACAAAACTGCCAGGAGAACTGTGAGTTTCATGAGGGAAGGGTTGGGAGGGTAGGACATCTGAAAGTTACAAGGCTCCTGTAATTCTTGAACCTCTCCCCCACCAACCAGACCTTCTCGTTCTGCCTGTTTAGACCTGAAATGTCTTATACAATGACCCCTGAAAAAGATGAGATCATTAGTAACTCCTGGAATTTTGTGCAATTATCACTGTAACTCTATGCAAGCATTCAAATTGGTTTACACTATGACATTTTGCCTCAAGCTTACTTCTAGAAATCACATGGATTTCTGCAGAAATTAGAGGGGGGGAAAGAAAAAAAACCTAACATCCAGACTCTTAGTAATGAATTTGCAAGTGTCCAAGGGACTTTCATCACTGACAGTGATGGGTCAGTAATGCCGTCTCTGTATATATATACTCTGCAATTTGTAAAGTAAGTGCTATTAACAATTACCATTCATTTTAAACACTTACTACACTTGGACTGTTCACCTGGAGAAGTAGACTTTTTAAAGTCACTTAGGATACATACTCATTTCCATCTTTATTGCAAAAAAAATAAGGCAGTGCTTACAAATTAAATTGGTTTTAAATCCTTCCAAAAAGACCCCGGGAGTCTTGAATTATTTGCTATTCTACAACAATGTATCAGAGCTAAAAGGTACTCCAGCCAGATTTTTGCTAAAATTTCCGCTCATTCTGGATAGTGGGCTTTAAGTGCAAGCGTTGAGGAAGAAAGGAATTCAGGGTAAATGTCTAGTGTTTAAGTTCTGGCAGGCTTCACTTGGGAAAAGTGGGTCCTGAGTTGGTATGGGATAAAAAACAAGTAGAAATGATGATCCACACGATTTCATAGGAGTTTCAGTTTCATTCTGCCTCTGAATGACTGAAAAACCTTACGAAACAGCTTCCGTGGTTTATGCCACTTTGATTTATCTCTCTTACTTTTATTATAGCCCAGAGGGACGAATGTAGGACAGAAGTGAAGAAAAAATTTCTCCCTATCACACCTTCTTCCTCAACCCCGGGAGTAAGAGCCGGTCATCCAGTTGTTTCAACCGGATGATAATCCCAGCCTTCGGATGTTCCCAACCATGAGGAACCGTTCATCTTGGACGCTGTTCCCCAGGATATGGGCACTGATTAGGTTGTTTTGGCAAGTCTTCCACAGTATTATCTTAATACTTTAAAAGATTCAGTCAAGTAGTCCCATTTAAGGACTCTAAGGTCTCTGCAAGGAACATCATGGCTTCAAAGGAAATGGCGTTTTGGAAAAGCATCATTAAGTCTTTATATAATTAAGAAGCAGTTAGAACAACAGAGTAGGGACACACATTCTAGGAAGTTCCCACTATACAAAAATGGACTGTGTTCTCAACATTTGTTTGGATTGGTTGTGCGGGGCTCAGACCATGGTTTCCAGTAGAAACAGTGTTACTCTACCAGGCTATCCACAGAGCCAACTTAATGTATGCTGGGACTGAAATACTGTCCTTTGCTAACAAAATGGAATTATTTGCAATGACAGATTCAGTAAAACAAACGAATCACATTATAAGATTGTTTCAGATCTTTCTCTAAATGTTAATATTTCAGATGAAACGAATTTTAGTTATTTGGCAAAGGAGGAATGGCTAGAAATGTGTGGATTCCGAGAGGGCTTTGCAAAATCAATAGCACAGACTATCGTACATAACTTAAAGCTGACAGCTTTTGCTTTCCCTGATGAAAGGATAGCACTATTATTACATATACTAATCATGGTCTTTTTTTGTTTGGTAGAAAGGGGAGGGGACCATACGATTCAATGTGTGAGTTAATTGAGCAAGTTTTAGGACAAAGAGAAGGGTTAAGATACTGTTCAATATTTGAGTGTGGAGAAGTTGCCTGAAGTAGACTTCTTTGATGTCTGAATGATGAATAGGAAAAAGGGAGAGAACCGAGAAATAATGGTGTATGCACCACACAGCTCTGGGGAGAGAAGACAGTGCCAACTTCCCATCAGACACTTCCCTCTACACTGGTCACTAGGTGGCGCTGTTCATTCAGAACAGCTCAGGGGCTACACGTGCCCTCCCCACCCATGTCTAGCGGTCGAGGAGGAGGCAGCAGGAAAACATTCTACCAGCAGGAAGTTTGTAGGTCAGGGGCTCCTAAACCAGAAGACACCTCAAATTTCTAACAAAGCTCAGCCTCACTGAATCAAACTAGCATTTCCACAGCACCCGCTTCATTTGTCTTTGTCTTCATCTTAATGAAAAATATACACTGTGGAATTTAACACTTAACTATAAAAACCCCTGTCTGCAAATAAAACTATCATTCCAAACCGCAGTGATTCCCATGCTGGTTTCAAGATTTCAATGGTTAAAGTTTCACATGAACATCTAACAAAATGTCTTATCTTTATACACTGACTTCTTCCACCTGTAAATTCTTTTTTTTACAGCTGTAATAAGACTTTAATGCAACGAGAGGTTTAAAGTCAGTTTCTAGTCCTCTCCAGTGGAAAAATGAACTCAACTCTCCCTTCTGTGTGATACACATTTGGGGGCAGGGCTAAGAAAATCCTCATGTCAGTGCCAAAAATCAGTTTGTGCCAAGGCCAATTCAGCGACATCACAGGGAAATTCTAGCAAATACAGCGTTCAGCCTAACTCCCATTTCAAGTTTTGGGAAATACTACACCAACTCCTAGAAATTGTTCTCCCAAGCCACCTGTAACAGGGATCCATTCGTGGATCACATCTACATACAGAGGCTCTCTGGGGCACTGCCATTGCCTATGTACTTAAATCTTTTTAAAGCTGCCCCTCTCAGTGTGTAATGCATTTTCCTGCTTATTTTCAGTTTGCCATAAAGACCCTGGTTAAGTAATTGAACCAATGGCCCAAATAATGCCATCTACAAGGCGTGGGATATTTGTTTCTAATGCAATGATTTCGTCTTGTTTCTCTGTTATTTTTCTGGCAAGAAATAATTCCAGGGCTCACTGCTTTCTTGGTGAAGTAAAGTGAGGGAAAGCTTACAGGTTGTAGTGAGAAGAGACAATCCCACAACTGCCCACTGAAATCGCTGCTCCCCACCTCCTGTATTCCTTCCAAATAGATCTGATTGTTTAGCAGCAACAATGCATCAACAGCATTATTTAAAAAGGCGTCTAGAACCACTGAAGCTATTAAACTTACCGGTTTCCCAAACTCCAATTCCGAAAAGAATTTATACCAAGGTTCATTCTTTAAATCTATCTCTTCTGGGCTTATATCCCGACTCTATAGGGGTTGGTGATAGGGAAATGGAAGAGAGAGAAGGATAACATTATGCAGAGATTACATAGGAATAGGCCAGTAGAGATGCAGTGGTTTCCGGGGATACACAGCAACTGTGTCCAACAGCAGCAATCATCCATTTTACGGACATCAGCAAAAACAAGGAGCTACAACAGGTGGGAGAGGATGGGTTCATAAAAACGGAGAAATGGAGGCAGGAGCAGTGAGCGAATCACTCTCAGCCCTGAGGCAGAAGGCACGTGGGCCACGGAGGGGGAGCTCTGTGCCACACTGCAGCCTTCCACGACAGATAGGAATTTGGGCATATTCCTCAATAACCGTACTGGGGGGGTAAGAGAAAGCCCGTACTTCCTCTTTACGAAGAACTGTTAGTGAGGAACAAATAACCTGGTGAGTTCACCAAACACTTAGCCATCTATGCCGTATGAGTAGAGCAACTCACTTTTATGGGCTAGTACGGTTTTAGTACTTATTTGCAAAGCTGCCTAAGGATCTTCAAAATAAATGCAAATACCAACACTTTTAAAAAGCCACATGGTTAATACTGCATCTTTAATGGCACATGAGTAGGTGAGAAATCATGTCCCATACACAGTACAGTGAAAGATGGTGTAAGTAAAAAACAGAGGACACAAGTGCAAAAAACATTTTAAACGAGCGTCTATGGGGGAGGAATACAGACAGAATATACTTTGTGTTTTCACAAATAAATGTTAAAGAAGTGGGAAAAATAAAATGAGGGAGAAGCAGAACAAGACAGACAACAGAACGGGGGGGAGAAAATTTCTGGGTTATGTTGCAAAAATAAGTCAGGTATCTCAACTTCATACAACTCTAAGAGGCAGTTCACACAGACTGACCATTTCATATCAAGCCAGAACTTTATAAAGTCTTAACACCTCACTCTGTGGAATAACATGTGTTTCTGGAGAGGTTTGGCTGGAAAATGAATGCCTGGAAAGCATATCAGGTTGCCCCTTCAAACACTGGACATACAAGTTCAGAGCAGGCAAAAGCATGAGGGGCTCATGGCATCATGAAATCCATCTACGTAGATATATTCAAAATACCTTGGCAGTCACTACATGAGAGAGAGATGGTGATTTTCTGACAACAATATGAAATAGAAAAGGTCTATTTTGTACTGAGACTGAAAACAGTATCTAAGAAATGTCACTTCCTCAGGGCAACGACCTGGGGAGGAAACGGCAAAGTCCCGCGGCCACGTTTTCCAAGCCACGGTGTCACAGAGCAGCTTCTCCGGGACACGTTTCTCTCTACATTCTGTTCACAGGCCTTTTGCCGTTTGTAGAAATGGCTGTCCGCTTTCTTTGGGACCCTGACCCATCCCTTCTTCTAAAATCCTTCAAAGAGTCTTCACTGTTATTTCTACTTTTGTTTTAAAAGGAGGAAGATACGGCAGAGAACTTTAACTGAAATGCACTAAATAAAAGTAAGCGGGACTCCAAAGGAGATGTCTACTGAAACAGAGTCTGCCCTCTTGCATCCAGATTAAAACCTCCCCCAGCTGTCTTTAGGAAACTAGGGGCCTAAATCTCAAAGGAGAAGGTGGGCTCCTTCTTACCAGATTCTGAAAGGGTGTACAATAATGGATTCCAAATGGGATCTTAATTTATTCAGTGAAATGAGGCACAAGCACTAGGACACTATTCAGGAGGGACAGTTCAGACCCTGGGACATGCTAGATCCCCATATGATGGGAGTTTCATGAAACCCATTTCATGTTGATTATTTTTTAACACTATTTATAACCGCTCCATGGGAATAGGCTACGTTTTTGTTGTTGTTGTTGTTTTAAATAAAATGTACCAACTCTTTCAGGAAATGGCCTGAATGTCTTGGTACTCAGTCCTGAAAGAATCAGCCCATTTTATTGCCAAAGGTTGCTTGCAGATTGCTTTTCCCGTGAAGGCTAACACCATGTGGAGAACTGAGTCGGGAGGCGTGTCAACTGCTGAGGCCCAGAGCAGCCGTCTGGAGAGTGTGTGAAAGCCGTAGCAGCACACGGCACGAACGCCTGGATTTGATTCTGCCATTTGTAACTTGGCCGCAGATCCGATTAGGGAACGGACAAATAGGAAATGTCCTTCCAGACGCAGAGCGGGCTCTTGTCCTGGCAGGCAGGGCGGATTCCACAACGCCAGGCTGAGTTCTCTGCTACTGTGGGCTCTTTTCCCCAGCTTGGCCAAATCCTGGGAAAAGGCAGGTGGCCTGCCGGAAAAACGTCTCATTCTCCTCAAGGATGGTCTTCCTTCTTGGATGGGAGCCAGAGATTGGCTTCAATTTTGAACTAAACAATCTGAATGCGGTACGTTCGTGTGCACAACCTTTGATGACTTTCATGTAGTTCTCTTGGACATTTTACCGCACCTGGCCCTCTCATTTGATACTTTGGGGAGTCTGCAATCTTCCTCAGGACTCACTTCAATACTCAGGACTTTGGTAACGTTGGCAGGCCAAGCAATACTTCTGTTTTACAGATGAAAACACTGAGACTCTGAAAAGTTAAAGGACTTGCCCCAAGATAGCTGAAGGCAGAGTCAGGATTTGAACTCAGATCTTCCAATTCCCAGTCCAGTGCTCTGTCCAGTATATAACATCCCCCTTCTCATAATTCTGAGAAGGCAGACCCTCTGTGTGTTGGTAGAGGACCCAAAGCTAAAATAGGGGGAAGTGACAAACTTAAAAAGCCAGGAAGGAACTCAAAGTGACTGTGTACTGGGAAGAAGCCCCCTTGTTTTACATACCTGAATCCGTACCCTGTATGTGTAGTTACTATCTTAATGTCTGTCCTTCCCAATATGCCCCTGTGGGATCAGCAGGGAACCCAACCTCTAACCCGGGCTTGGCACCTAAAAGTGATTCTATATATATCTGTTGAATTGAGCCGAAGTTCTGGAAGGGACTTTGGAGGAAAGTAAAAGGGACAAATCCTGAAAGAGGCCATTTCTGACAAAGAAGGGCCTGACCACTAGATCTCTAATCCCGAGGTGGGAGGACAAGACGATGCGCTCAGACTAGGACGACAGGGGGCTCGGGAGTTATGAAGACCATCACAGGAGTCTGCCACATGGCTGGAGATGTCAGGCTGTAAGCCTACTGTGGGGGATTCTGAAGGCAGCACAGGGTTTCCTCTGCTTGTGATGGTTTGGGTTTGCCCCAGGGATAAGACAAGCTCTTCAGAAGCCTTTACAGTCTACCACCAACCTCCCTGCAACAACAGGCACATGTGCCTGTGAGGTCACCATTGAAGTTGGCAGGCTGAAGTGGACAGGAACAAATTGGAAAAACAAAACATTTTTCCCCTCGAAAGGAGTTGTGCACTTCCAAGAGCAAATTTAGATTCTATATCGGTCACTAGTTAGCATACTTATCCACAGTTAATAAGGCAAAAGTGTGTGTGTGCATGTGGTGGTTGGGGTGGGGGTGGGAGGTGTCCTCAAATTCTGGCAAACCGGATATTTGGATGCCAAAAGGCAAGCAACACGGACACATTCCAACTTTTCTGTTCATGTGGCAAAAACAGAAGGGGAAAAAAAAATCAAAAAAGAAAGGACTAATTCAACTACTGGGAAGAGTAGACTGTGAAACGCAGACCTGGCTGAAATTTCTAAAATGAAAGCCTTCTCTTAAGAAGAACAGCGCTAAAGAGCGAAGGGCACTGAATTACGTGGCTGGCCACGGTGCACTCCATGGCCTGCTTGGGGCCTTCTTGTCCTGTCACTGGGCTGGCCCAGGGGCCTGAACACCATAGGCATGGTTGCCACAACTGTCCAGAGGCCCCCAACGGGCACCTGTATCACTTTCCAGGGGTTGTAACCATTGTGGTATTAACAAGAAAAACAAAACTATGTCTTTTTTTTTTTTTTTTTTTTTAATGCTGAATAGTGGTCAAATTACTGGGAACCAAGGAAAGGAGGGGGAAATCAAAGAAAGGGGCAAGCCCTCCATTAAAGCAAAGACTACCTAGGAATAACAGCATTGCCCAAACAAAAGCACCCAAAGGGCAATAGAGTATCTGAAGTCATAGAAGTGTGTGGACACGTGACGGTGTGTCCCTGACTTCTTATCAGGAATGTTCCCAAAGCACATGACTGTCTCTCTGGGCACACCTGCGCGTGGAAGGTAACTTCGGTGCGTGTGATCTTCTAACAGGGAGAGAACCCCCAGGGCAGGGTGCAGACAGAGCAAAGTTCTCGGCTCCTTTCTCAACTTTTTGCTTAAAATAACTGTGGTGCACAGTAAATGCTAAAGAATGACAACTCTAAAGCATTTCTGTGAACTGTTGACCTTTCTTCCTAATTAAAATTACTTTCTCCCTTTGAGCTTTTAAAGATGTCACATTTTTATTTTAGTAAAAGTCAAATCAATTATTACTTAAAACATGTAGAGCAGAAGAGGTGGAGGGAAAATAACTTGAACCTGCATTTCAGAGGCCTACTTAATCTGCTCTCAGTGTGGTAACCGCATTTTAATAAAAGCCGATCCCCAGCGTGACAATTCCACCCTGCTGGCACGGCTGGAGGGCTGCAATATTTATAGAGCTTTGGAGAATCCCTGTAACTATGATCAGAATTCTGAACCAGCTATCCCAACGAAGGGTGAATAAAAGGGAGCGTGGGTGGCAGATAAGAAACTAATCAGTTTGTAAAAATTCTTTCTTGTTTCACAGAAGAAGCTGCTTTTCCAGGGTGTTCTTCGATGCTCAGGCAGGCCCTTTCCCCCACTCACAATTGCTTGGTGATGTGAACACATATAGAGAATTAGAAACCAGACTGAATAGGAAATGCGTCCTCCATAGTGCACTTGTCAGAAAAGGAAGATCTACAAGACATATTCTAACAGGGTCTGGGTCTTTCTTCCCAAGTCACAATATCATAGCAATTATTTAGCTTTTAATGATGTGCTCATAACTTCTACAAAATGTATGCATGTTCAAATAAGAGTCACCTATTAAAAAATAATCTGAGTCTAGTCCAGTTAGTAATAAGCCTGATAAATTAACAGTTAGACGTTTTTAAAAAGACAGGAGCAAAATCAATCTTTACATTAGTATAACATTTTAAATTAGTTCATCATGCACAAAAAGAACAACAAAACACAATATGGCTTCTTTCAAAGCAGACTCTCAGGACTTATTTTATCAACACCTGCAGAAATGAAAAGGGTAAAAATACTTCATTTCTTCATTCATCTTCAAAACATAGCAAAAGTTTGTCTCAGGGGGAAGAGAATGTAATCCAAGCACCCAATGCATCCGGATTAAAGAACACAGCAGGGGAGACAAAAGAACTTTAATATACACATTACCATCTTTTCGTTGGTCAGAACAGAAGACTTGCCCGGCTGGTAGTCGTAAATGCTTTTGGGTTCTGCGCGGTATTTCCTTGTATCCACTTTCTTATCTGGGGGCTCCCAGTCGTTTCTGGAAAAAAAAAAAAAAAAATCCTATTAGAGCTATTTTCATGAAAATTGGCATCCGACAGGGTCTGACTTTGGCTGACTACCGTCTAATCAAGGAATTTTTGTATCTGAAGCATGAAATCGGTCTCTGTGCGAAGCATTTAGTTCCGCTGGTTTCCTTCTCAAAATAACCAGTTACATCTCTGCGTTGGCTTCACAAGAGGGCTTGAGGCGTCCACGGCTCAAAGCCGGGCACCAGCCGTGCAGAGAATGAGGAGAAGGTTGGGAAGCGGCAGCGGCAAAGCCTGCTCTCTTCTCGGGCTCATCATTCTTGGAACGTGCTTGTTCTTCCCACTCCCACTAGTGTGGTGGGAGAGAACGAAGCTCCCAGAGCTCATCAGCTGTGGTTCCAGTCCCTGCTACCGCACTCGCTAGCCTGGCGAGCTGAGCCAAGCACCTCACCCATGGCTACTTTGGTTTCCTCATCTGAAAAATGGGAATAGCGAAGGGATTAAATGAGACAGTGCATGTAAATCACTTGGCAGAGCACCAGGCCCACCGTGAAGGCACTGAATAAACGTGATCTGCAACTGATAACCACGTTTGTCCCTAATCCACACCCTGCCCCAGCAGTCACCCAAATCACGGCCTTGGGTACAGATACTTAACCTGAGCCAGCAATGGGTTCTAGAGGATACATGAACCCTTGGAAGTTGCTGACACATTTTTTTTTTAAGATTTTATTTATTTATTTGTCAGAGAGAGCACAAGCAGGCAAAGTGGCAGGCAGAGGCAGAGAGAGAAGCAGGCTCCCCACTGAGTAAGGAGCCCGATGTGGGACTCGATCCCAGGACCCCGGGATCATGACCTGAGCTGAAGGCAGTGGCTTAACCAACTGAGCCACCCAGGCATCCCTGCTGACACATTTTTAAGGCACGGACAGTACTGCATTTTGCACTGTGAGTATAATTCCCTTTTTCCCGCAAAGCTATCAGCTTCTCAAAGGCAGGGACCGTGGTTTATATATGCTTCTCTCCCCCCACAGCATCTGGTTCAATCCACGCACAAAATGAACCCAGCGGATGCTTGATGAATGCACCTGAGCATGTACCCGCAAGGACTTAAGGGTATATACCTAGCCTTCCTTTCAAATTAATTATCAAAATCCTCAGGCAGATGCTGTCATGTATGTGTGGGACTCAGCCACTCATTTGTCTGTGAAGATGGAAAAGGTATGGAGGTGTGAAACTGAGTGTGTACTTAGAGGGAAAAAAATTCTGCAGTGTGCTCAGAGCCTTGTTGGGAAGTGGTGAAAGAGGGAGCCCGAAGATGCGCTGGACACCCCTCCAGATGGCATACGAAGGTTGCTCTGTCAGGAATAAGAACTCAGTGAAGAAAAATTGGTCATTCAGTACAGCCACGAGGAGATGACCAACACCATCATCAGAACCACTTCAAGCCTTATCTTTCCATGATAAGCATGTAATTATCAAAAGGCGTGGCTTTGGGGTGCCCGGGCAGCTCAGTGAGTTAGGCGTCCCTGGGACTCTTGATTTCGGTTCGGGTCATGATCTGAGGATGGTTTTTGAGCTCAAGCCCCACATCGGGCTCTGTGCTCAGCGTAGAGTCTGCTTGAGATTCTCTCCCACTCTGCCCCTCCCCCACTCGCTCATAAGAGTGTGCCTGCACACACACATATGCATTCTTTCTTTTTCTCTCTCTCTCTCAAATAAATAAAGTCTTCAAAAAACATAAGTGGCGTCATTTTAAAATTATATTCTCTGGTATGGACCTGTCAGAATGCACAGAGTATGAAAACACATGACAAATTTTACAGTTACGATTCCTCTTGTGAGAAGGGTAAAGTCATGATAATTACAGCCAATGTTCATTAAGCCCATATGGGGAGCCAGAAACTACTGGAAACGTTAGATGCATTGCCTTGTTTTATCCTTGCAGCATCCCTATGAATGTAAAATGCAACCCCATTGAACAGATGAGGACACTGAGACTCAGAATAAGTCACAGGGATTCAGAATCAGGTTTGCATGACTCTTGCCTCTACAGCTGCCTGACCCAGCAGAGACAGGACACTTCCCTGGTAGCTTGGGGATGGAAGCCCTAACCCTCAGAGCTGATTGTGGGTGGGAGGCACTTACCTCTCCGGGCTTGATTTTAGTGAGGAAGAGCGGGCTGGGAGGGGAAGCGTGGCCGACCTCTTAACCACCTTCTCACCGTCGATGTAGCTCATCTCACTCTTTGAGCGAGGCACAGAAAGGGGAGATTTTGCTGGAGAAGAAAAGTGGGTACAAAAGACTTGCAAAAACTGAGGAAAATCAAAGACAGGAAGATGTCTTTCCTCACCCACCACCCTCTGTTCCTCCCCCGCAAGCAGAAAATTCTACATCACTTACTGTCTTCAGAAAAGGAGTACCGAGGTGAGTACAGATCTGAATCATCATCTAGTGAACAAAACAAAACGTAATCAGGAGCAAGCCAGCTAAGGTAAGAAAACCAGATGACATGTCCCCCCACTTGCCCCATCCTGTGCCAGTGTCCAGCAACACCGGAAGCCCGACAGACAGAGGGGCGGCCCAGGGCCGGAAGCTACACCCCCCCCCCAGACCCCATCTGAGAGCCCACCCAACCAAACAGGGCCGCCAACCTGCAGGCCGGAAGGTCCACGCATGACACCTGGGGGCTGACTGCCACCTGACACTAAGGAAGCATGGGGACAAATAGCCAAAGGTCCTCCTCAAGACAACTTCCACGAGCAAATCGAGAACACAGGGTTCCCGGCCTAGACTGGAAACAGGGGCAGAGAGAGGTCCCTGAATGTCTCCAGTCTAGCCTGCTGAGTTCCCCAGAGTCTGCCGGTCCCACTACTGGATGGGCTGAGGGAGGCCCGGGAGACGGCTTCAGCGGCCCACCACGGCTGGGATCTGTTCTACCTGGGGCAGTTCCATGCACAATACCATTGACCAAAGGGGCTGTGGCTAAGGAAACAGGCTGAGAAGACCCTCCTGGTCCCTTGCTTTGATTCTACCTCAGCCTAGTTCCTCGAGCAGCTTGCTTTCCTCGCGACACAGCACATGCTGGCAGGGCTGCCCTGCAAGGGTCCTGCGAGGGTCTGGGTCTGAACAGTGACTTCGGAACCAACCGAACTCACACAGTCTTGTAGGACTGCTCTGCAAGGGCGAGACACTCGCCCCTCAACAGAGAACCCCAGGACACGGACACTTGCAGAACCAAGACCAGAGCTGAGCCCCTCGCCGAAGCAGCTGCCCTGAACTCGAAACGAGAGCACATGGACATTTACTGAAACGGATTTTTCAAACACAAGCCGAAGAACCCACTGTCACATGTTGGCTAAGTGTTAATCAAGTCCTGTTTCTCTGCAAATCTAAGTCTTAGAGCAGGAAAGGCTGGGGTATTTTGTGAAGTAGAAATAAAACTAACACTGCTATTATTTTCAGTATTATTCAAAGACGACTTCTCTGGCAGCCCCTCTTTTAAAAAGTATTTTATTTATTTATTTGACAGAGAGCGCGCACAAGCAGGGGGAACGGCAGAGGGAGAGGGAAAAGCAGACTCCCTGCTGAGCAGGGAACCTGATGCAGACTCGATCCTAGGACCTTGGGATCATGAACTGAGATGAAGGCAGCCACTCAACAGACTGAGCCACCCAGATGCCTTCTGGTAGCCCTTCTCATTCCCTCCTCTCCTCTTTTCATCTGCTCCAGGTCTCCTCCCAGCCCAAATAAAGGAAAGGTATCAGGTACCAAGTTATCTTTCCCTCCCTTCCTCCATCCATTTCAAGGATAAGAACTAGTTGTTATCAAAGTTGAACAAGACTTGCCCTGCTATACATGAAATGTGCAAGCTGATTTACGTTAACTTTTGAGAATAGGGCGGAAGAGGTAAAATGAGATCCAGAAATGTATTTTTGGAGTACTGTTCTGAAGAATTTTGTCTTGCCTGTTGTTATTTTTTAACAGAACTTCTGATTACCTTGCTAAAAATGCCATGATGTCAAAGAAAGCAAAAAATCAGCTCTGACTGCCGAGATTTGACTGGAAAAACACTGGCTGCAAATGAGAAATTAGCTTACTTAGGAACCAATGTATGTACCACTTAAAATCTAGCCTCGCATTTTAGCTCAAAACCCTGTATCTCTGAATCACGGACTGACAGCCTAACAGTAGACCGTGAGGAAGATCAGGGTTAGTTTGTAACTATTACCTGGTTCTTGGGGTAAGAAGCAACATTTTCATGGGGGACACATGGCATTTAAATATTCAAAAAATGTTTAAAGTCTATGTTCTTGAAACAATTTTTTTCTTCCCAGAGCTTCCTTACATAGAAATCTGGAAGATTTGTTAGAAGGAAATGAGAAATAGTTCTTATAAGATGGAAAAAAAAAAATAGAGCAGCTTGGGGAGTTAAATAATTTATGTATTTTGGAAAGTAGGAGGAGAAAAAACGGGGGTGAAGGCAACAGACATCAGAATGACTGAACACTCTTAAAGCCACTTCTTATTTGTTAGAGGTGGAGAAAGCAGTGTCACCCGGCTAAGCCAACAAGAGGGCAGGAGCACCTCTAGGGAAGCAAGCTCTTCATTTCTCTGTGTCCACGGGACCGAGTCCAACATGTGGATTTCAGCTCACCTTCGAAGACAGCAGACTGAAGTTCCACAGATTCGACCAAACACGAGGAATCCGTGCAGGTCCCAGGGGACGTAAAATTTACTTTAATTGATGTTTGTCTTAGAAATCTAACATAAGGGGCACCTGGGTGGCTCAGTGGGTTAAGCCTCTGTCTTTGGCTCAGGTCATGATCTCACGGTCCTGGGATCGAGTCCCACATCGGGCTCCCTGATCAGCAGGGTGCCTGTTCCCTTCCTCTCTCTGCCTGCCTCTCTGCCTACTTGTGATCCCTCTCTCTGTCAAATAAATAAATATTAAAAAAAAAAAAAGAAATCTAACATAAGAAAATTCTACCTCTGCTTGTGAATAAAAACAATAGCAGCTTCCATTAAGTGCCGAATAGCGGCTGCTAATTTACTAACCTCATCTCACTCAACCCTCACGAAAACTGGAGGTAAGGAAATCTCTCATCTCATAGACAAGCAAAGGAGGCCCGGGGAGGTTAAGAGAATTTGCCCTTAGCCACACAGTGAGAGAAAGACAAAGCAGGAAAGGACTCAAGGTCTTTCTGACTCCACTTCCCTGCGCTGCCTCTAAGCCCTGTGACAGGAATCGGGGCTTTGTTCTACTCCTCACCCCGGCCTCATCTACCCCATCCTGGGAAAAACTGTGGCTCTTCTGGTATAATTTTTATTATGGAAGAGGCAGGAGAGGCTGTTGTTTTGAAATTCTAGTCATGCACTATGGTGTTGGCCAGACTGACTTCTAGACCTCGAAGCCTTTGCTGTCTTTCTGCATTATCCCCTCCTTCTTGATGCTTAAGCAAATTTTCTTTCTTTTCCTTGTAAAGATTGTATGTATGTATGTATGTACGTATGTATTTATTTATTTGCCAGAAAGAGAGCGAGAGAGCAAGAGAGAGAGCACCAGCGGGGGCAGGGAGGAGGCAGAGGGAGAAAGTTAAGAGTTAAGCAGGCTCCCCACCCAACAGGGACCCAGACACAGCTCGATCCCAATCATGACCCGAGTCAAAGACAGACGCTTAACAACCAAGCCACCTAGGTGCCCCTTACACAAGTTTTCTGAGTTACCCACTTCTATTCTTTGCTGGTTTCTAGAGACAGTGAGTAAAACTGAGTCACTCTTGCTACGTCATCTACTTGCTGTTTCTCTAGTTCCCTTCTCCTGGCAGGCCAAGCCCACACTGGGGTAGATGGATATGAAGTTAAAAATACCGATGAATGGGAAAACTGGGCACCAGGATCATCCTTCTGCGTTTCTGCACACTGGAGTTAGCCAAATGGAGTGTACGTTTTTAAGCACAGTTAAGAGGCAGTAAATGAAATGTTTTTTTTTTTCAAGCTGTTTGTGAGCACAGGCATTGTCTGTGTCTGAAATCCTGCCGTTATAGTTTCTCCAAGGGTTCTTTAAAGCGGCGCCTTAGGGGGCTCAGCTGAGCTGGGATCTTGTGATTGCCGCTCGTGGTAGAGCCACATGCTGACGGTGCCCCTCTGAGCCTTGGCAGTGACACCCAGAACTTCCGGTGCCAGCGACTTCCAGGAAGCCCTAAGGTTCAGCAGCATTTACTCAGGGTGAACAATCCACTTCTGGAACCCAAAGGCCCCTGCTGGGCTCTGATATTTATGCACCAGTGACTATCCTCTAGGCTTTGGCAGTCTATCCTTGGAGGCTCGATTTGGGGACGGCTACTCTTCTAAAACTGCCAGGAAGCACATAATTTCTTTTTCAACCACAGCAACTTTAAATGAACTTCTAAAAAAGGCTTTCCCTGGATTTGGGGGTTTCTTTCTTGAGAATTTATAACAATCTTAAAAACACTGGAACAAGTGCTGGTCAAGAATGATTATTTTATAAAAAAAAAAATGACGAAAATGAGATGCACAAAAACCAGTATTTACACAATCACTTGCCTTTATCAATTAAATTTTAATTTTATACATTTCTTAGGCATTTAAACTTAAGATTATTTTTGTAACATCAGGGGCTCATTTTTGACACAATCTTTTTCTACAGCTCGAATTAATTCCTTCTGCTTCGTTCCATACACTTTGGAAGACAAAAGATAAAGGGGTCAAGATAGATACACACACTCACCCCACAAATAAAAATAGCCAAAGAAAAAGATATATGCAGAAGTGGGGACAAAGTCTGGGTGGGATCGGAGAGAAGAATCAGCAAAAGGAGAAATGGGACAAGGTGGTCAGGATTAGTCCAAAGAGCCCAGGGAGAAATTCCCAAAGCTGCTTTGGTTCTGGTTAAAGGCAAATTTTAAGGGATTAGGAAGAAGAAAAAAAAGACCAACAAAGGGTACAGAGTAGCTACAGAAAACAAACAGGAAAAGGGGGAAAAAAAAAAAAAGAACTGAAGGAGAAGAGAACGAGACAGAGAAGGAAAGAAGAGGAGGAAGACGTGCGGAGGACCAGAGGGCTGGAAGGAGACTCACCGTCCTCATCTCCAGTGGCATTCCCAGCCCGTGGAGGAGGTGGAGAGGGAGTAACTGGAGCTCTTGGCTATCCTGTGGGCCAGTCTAAGGCTGCACTGGCCAGGCGGAGCCCTCCTGCCTGGCTGTCCTCAGGAGAGCAAAGGTGACCGTCCCGCCAGCCCGGCCCCGCCTCCCCTGGGCAGCGCAAGCTGGAGCGGGGGGCAGGAGGCACACAGAGCCCAGCCGGGCAGCTTCACAATAGATCTATTTGCTTGAACTCCAGCAAAGTAAGGCTATTCTTAGAAATTCTGTAAGGCCGGTAGAGGATTACTTTAACTCAAATACAGACGTGCCTGGGAGAAATTGGCCTCC